AAATATTGTCATTAATGATGGAAAACCACTTTGTGGACATTTACGATACATACGATAACCAACATCTTGTGCTTCATGTGCACGTATAACAGTTAATAAAGAATTTCGAACAAGAAAATCATTAACAGCTTTAAATGTATAAAAATAGGAACAACCACGTGTTGCATTAAATAAATATTTTTCATCATGAGATTTTTCATGTCCATAATCTTCAACGGGATCACTCCATAATAAATCACACATTGGTCCATATGGTGGTGGTTCTTTAAAACGATCTAATTTTTTAATATCATCTAATGTATGAATTTCTGGTGAAAGACCACCTATTGTAAAATATTTATTCTTTTTTTTTAAAGAAAAAACTTTTCATTCAAATAAACTTACCATGAACACAAAAGAATTGTTTATCTATAAGAGCAGCTAATGGTAAACAATCAAATGCACGCATACAAGCATCATAAACTCGTTCTGTATATTTAATTTTACCTTTACAATAAAAATTGAAATATAATTATAAAGAAGAGAAAGAAAGGAAAAAAGCTTACATTCTGTTTTAAAGGTAAAATATTCAGTTAAATGTCGACATTCATGATTTCCACGAAGTAGAAAAAATGTTGTCGGATAATGAATTTTAAGCGCCCACAAATACAGAACACATTCAATGGAAAAATAACCCCGATCAACGTAATCACCCATAAATAAATAACGTGTAGTAGCTGGTGGACCTTGATTAAAAGAACAAAGAAAAGAACAAGACAATCTTTTAATATATAAATTATTTTTGACAGTTTAGCGTTATCCGGAAAAGTAAGAATCTTTGGGTTTTTTTTGTTGTAATTCAATTGACATAAAGTTAAAAATAGATTACTCACCCCCAACTTCAATTAATTTCATAAGATCATAGAATTGTCCATGAATATCACCACAAACTAAATGAAAAAATTATTTAATAAAAGAAGAATTGGTATTTTATTTTTTGACATAATTTTTACCAGTTATTGGAGCTTCTAAATCGATTAATGTGTTTTCAGAACGTAATAAATGTTCTCCATATTCAATAATCATTAATGCAGCGTCTTCTTCAAGACGTCCTTCAGCAATTAGATGTTCACGAAGACGTTCAAGTCGAGGTTTACCACCACCAGTTGAAGTATCAAATAAATCAGCAATTGTTAAACGATATATAGGCGGGTGTGGAAGACATCGAACATAAGTATTATCTGCCGATGCTGGTGGCGACGATTCTTTTTTTGTTGATGTTGTTGCTGTTGTTGTTGTTGTTGTTGATGCCATCACTTGTGGCTTATGTGTACTGTTACTAGAACTAGCATAACAAAAGAAGGAATGAAGTAAGATCGAAGAATGTTTTGACAACTGATCTTATTCATTAGCTAGATTAAAAAAACGAGAAAAGATTGTTATATATCGATTCTGAATAAGGTGATAGATGAAAATCAGCTTATAATACATAATTGCATTTTTTTCTTTTCTTTTTTTCTTTCCACCTCGTTTGATCTTTCTAATGAGACAGATATGTAGTCGAAGGTTGACATATATCGATGGTACTATCATAAGCAAATGATTTTTTTTGGATGTCATCAAACAGAAAAAAAAATAGAACATATCGATGAGAAAAGAATGATCGAGTATGTGTCATTTTTATACAATTGTAAGAGTTTTCTAACTTGTTAATAAAACTTTTTTCTCTATACCTTTGCATAACATTGTTTGCAGATATACTCATTGCCATTCATTCATCGAAAACAACAAGTTGATCTCTATGCATTGGTATTAATACATCGAACTCGACGCAATAGTAGAAAAAGAGAAAAATTTTCTATGATAGTTGCTTTGTATATGGAAAATAGACACAATAGGATGCGATACGTTTCCAACAACGACGCAAAGATGTAGAGAGAGAGAGAGAGAGAGAGAGAGAGAAAAAGCAAGAAACAGACGAGAAGAAAATGCGTAGGTACAAATTGCGTATGAACAATGAGGACGCACGCGCCGAACACATATAGAGAAAGAGATTCCTTCTATCGCTGTCTATATCAGATCAGAATTGATTATGATCTGGGATGCTGCCATAACGGATACAGAATGCAATAGCCTTCTTTTCCATATGTTCGCCGTCTTTCTCTTTCCCTCGTTCTTTCTGATACACACCGAAGTTGATCGCATAAATAGCCCACAAATGCGATAGATGAGATCATCAATACTACTATTCTGTTACTTGCATTCGGCAAGATTTTTCTTGTTTCTTCGCTTGCTGAAAATCTATTACATTTTCTTCTTCTTCATCTTCTTCTTTGATTTTCTTCTCCGTAGTCGTTGTTCCGACTCTACTGTCTGTCTCCCACATTAATAATTAGTGTTACGCGAGAGAAACGGGTTCTCTCGTTTTTTTTTCTCTTTTCTTCTGTCTTTTCTTTTTTTCTTCTCTATACTATTTATACATCTGCACATTGTGCTGCACATAATTGAGCGCGACAGAATAGTAGTAAGCTCACAAACGCTCGTTCTGCTTGACATAGAAAAATACTGACGATTCTCTTTTCTCTCGTTCATATATATATATATTGCTAAAAATGTTTTCAAGTTAGAACTTCTACTGAATATAACCACAGAAGCTGATTGTCTGACACATGAGCCTATGCTTATTCGTCTTCAAGTGTGTTGATCAACCATAGCACTTGCATCATCAAAACAATCAAGAACGTTCACACTTTTCGATCGGAAATAGCGGATCAATGATGATAGAGAAAAGCACAATGGCATTAAGATGCCTAAAAAATGTGTGATGTTAGAAATGTACGATAGAAAGATAATGATAGAAAACCTTGTTTTTTTCCCAAAATCTGCTTGAGGCAATAACTAGTGGAGGGATAAATTAAAGAGATAAAAGAAGCCGAATGATGGTGATGATGATGGTGATGATGTGTGCTTTCGTTCGTAACAAACATACAGGCTAAAGCAATTACGTCTGATGTCAACACACGCATATATATCGACGCTTGCTTATGCGTCCACACTCGAATGCAAAGAGAAAAGATGTGAGCTACAAATAGATCGACGCCTTTTTTTCTTCTTTGTCTTTTTTTTTTGTTACTTATTCCATAATAGAACTCTTGTAAGACGCTTAATCGAGATACCTCTATCATAATAGCTACGAACAGTTTGACTAAATAATTTTCTTGCTCCATGAAGCACAACTTGTCTTTTTCTTTGAACTTCAATGTTCACATGAGTAAAACATTGAATACAAGAAAAAGAAAAAAATGAAAAAATTTTTTATGTCATCAATAATTATTTACCTTAATACGAATAAAAAAAATTATTCATAAATGAAGAATATGCCAATGGCAGACTATATATAGTTATATCTGACATTGATGATGACAGATATTTATCTCTAAAAAAAGCTCTTGACGAAAGAATTCAATCATATTGACAAGTAAGATAAAAAAAAAAGATGTCTTCGTTGTTTTCGTCTTTCTATTGATTGAAATAAGACTCACTCTAATGGAAATAAGATATAACATTATTATTCTATATAAAGAAAGAAGAGAAAAAAAGATCTCTCATATAGAACATGTCTTTCTTTTTACCAGACAAAAACAACAACAATCGATGAATAAATATAAAAAAAAGAAAAAAGAAGACGATGTGTTAAAGAAAAGCAGGGAGTTCTCAAACATTGCTATGATCATCAATAGAAGCAAAAGAATAAGAAAAAAACGCTTCAGTTGTTAATAATAGGTAAATAACAAAAGAAATACGGAAGAAGTTTTTGCTTTATTAAGTTTCTATCATGTCATTCTAGGTAACTCTTGATAATGTGTTGAATAATTATCATTTGAATTCTTTCTGCATGATTTATTTTCTAATTGAAACTTGATTCATTTTTTATGGAATTATTCGACAATTGACTAGTGGAAATTTTTATGACCTACAAAATAGAAACAATTTATTGAAAGAATTCAGTTAGATTATATTATCAGCATATATTTAATAAAAAAATATTAATAGTTCTTATGATTTGAAATTTAACAATCATAGAAAACGAATAATGAATGGTTGTCAAATAAATAGAAATATTTAAAAATATACAATTGATAATGATTAGCAATGGATTTTGCTAGCTGATGATCGTAAAAGTCTCTGCAGTCTTTCCTTCTTCCGTTGATGACGCCCCATGTGGACTCGTTTTTTTAATAATTAGAGATCGACGAATATATTTTTCTTTTCTTTTCTATTGTTGATGAAAGTATATTCAGTTTTCATTTAAAACTTTTTTATTCAATATCTCTATTATTATTCTCAAAGAAAAATTTATGCAAAGATATCTAAACTTCACTAATTCTATCTGTTTTTCAAGGTCAAAAAAACTGGAGAGTTTGTTTTTATCATAAATCAACAGATGCATAAATTCGATTATCCATTATACAGTTAATGTCTCACATCTGACAACTGATGCCATTTGATGTCATAATTAATGAAGTGACCGATTCGAAAATGAAAAATTAAAAGCCTACAAATTTTAAATGTATCAATTGATTGAGATATATTATATATTGGTAAATACTATTCAAATTCAATGCACTACTTTACTATTAAATTAATATAAACCTCTGAAGTTTCTTAACTTTTTCAGATGTAACCGTATAGTTTCAAGATTCTGATGCAGTTCTTTTAATTTCTTAATCTTGTAATTAAAATTTCACTAATTATGAATCTAAATAAATAAACAAATCTTTTAATGTTATTGTATGAAGAATAATTGTTATGATGAATTGAACTCTATAAAGAGAAACGTAGTCTCATCACTATGACAGACATTTTTATTTGTCACAATCCATGATAAGCATCATTAATAGAAGTTAAGATTTCTGTCATTCACTTTTTTTTCTCATGTTACATACCACAACATTATGACAATTCACAATTTCTTTTTCATTTATTCACAGTTAAAAAAACGAACGAAATCTTTCAATAAACTATTCGTTTAAACTTGAAGCCTTCTTCATTTCTGATGGTCGATATTCCAAAACGTGTAAAATTCTAAAATCAAAGAAAAACAAATCATTATGTTGTTTTTTTCTATCAATACAATTTCTATACATACGACATCAAAATAATTGCTATGGCACCAATTAATGCAATACAAAAAAAAACAAGACCTTGATCAAATGTTAGTGATACTTGATAAATTTCATTTGTTAACGCACTAATTGCATAATAACCACCTGTTTCAACTATAGTAGCAAGAATGAAAACTGCAGCATATTCATCAGACTCAACTAATTTTGTAATACGTGAACGTATTATTGGCGTTAATACATAAAACATGCCACCAATACCAACAGCCAAATAAAGAATCCAATTTTGTCGAGCTACTCCAAATAAAACTAATTGTGTCATGAAAGCTAAACAACCCAATCCTGGTAATACTAAATGATCAGTACGTTTAGCAATAAATAATGCAAATGGGATTGTTAATAAAATAGTAGCAGCTGTTTGTACTGAACTATTTACACTAACACTAAATGAATCAAAACAAAATGGCACACCATATAAATATAGATAATACATAGATATATGTCCACATATCATAAAAATTAAAAGTAGATGTATGGTAACTAATATTAATAATGATCTTTGTTTATGTTCTTGACGTTTAACAAAAAACACTTGAAAACCTTTTGTGATTGCTCGAAATTCACTTTTTTTTAATTGTTGAAAAATATTTAAATGCTGAACATTCAAATTAGATTCTGGTTGTAAAAAAATACAAAAAACCAAACCACTTAGACTTAATAACAATGTAAACATTATTGATTGAACATATCTTGGATGTTGTAAATAGATTCCCATTGTTATTAATGGTAAAAATCGACTACATCCAATACAAACTTCTGTAATTATTATACTTGATGTACGTAGTTTTTCATTTGTACAATCAGTTACATAAGCAAATGAACTTATAATACTTAAACCTGCCGTTCCAAAAAGACCATCAAACACAGTTGATAGAATAATCCATATATCGGGTAAATTATAATAAGCAACAGCTGTTAAAATGAAATAACGCATACTCTTACCAATAAATGGGAAAGCAATTAAAGGTTTCCGTCCAATTCGATCACAATTAGCACCAAGAAAAATTGATGTTAAAATAGCCGGTACAGTAGCAGCAAGTGATAGAAAAACATTTAAACGTGCAGCTGATTCTTGAATTATTTCATTCGATGACTTTGTAGTTGATATAGGATATTTTGATGTTGTTGTTGATATTGAAGGCGTAGAATTATGCGATATTCGACTAGCATTTATACATAATTCATGTTTATTTTGTGTTGATGAAGAATTTAATTCATAATAATTTGTATAACGATATTCAATAAAATCATTTAGAATTAAACTATCGATAGTAGCTATTATCATTATAAGAACTAGAGGTGGTAATACACGCCACCAACGAGGTAGAGTTCGTGGTAATAGTGGCTTTTTTACATCACTTTCATCTACCATATTGTTTTTTTTATTGCATTCAAAATTCTAATATTGACAAAACTGGAGTATATATATGAGTGTGTGTTCTATCACATCATCTGACGATCTTCAAAAATAAGAAAATAACGAAGATAAGATATACTCATACACGAGACTTAAACTTTGTAAAAAAATATTTGTGTCATCATGACAGGTGAAGGTATCACGAAAATCTAACAATACCTTAGTAGATTGGTTCAAAATCTGTTTACAATAAATAAGATGATTATTGATTATGTTTAGCAATTAAAAGTTTTAGTTGCAAAGAAGTATATTTTAATTTTATTAACGAGAAAACATGTTATTATTGTACGTGAAACAGATTACATTGAACTACGAAAAAGTCAACTTATGCTTTTTTCATCTTTAGATTTCCTTCATGATGATGATAGAATACTTGTAATGAAATTGTTGCTGATCATATTACTATTTTCATGCTTTTCATAATTGACTCTTGTTTTGTAGTCACGAAATGCATCAAAAACCAAACTCGTGTATAGCTCAATCAGTTAGTTATTTTTCTATTTGTATAGTGTCCTGCATACATCTACGAGCAACAATAATTGGAACTAAAATTTGTTCAACAAGTTTGTTTCGAAGGAGAACAATACTTGATATTGATCAACAAATGTTGCATGATAAGATCTGCTTTATTATATTACTTTTTTTTGACAGATTCTTTCTCATAGATCACTTTCGTTTATATCTCGTGCAATGAATCACGTACTATTATGATGGATAATACAATATTTAGTAGTGAAATATTGTGAATGTCGATGTAATCTTATAAATAGTGCAATATCTTAATAGACAATACGACATAGTATATCATTCAAAAATGTTTTTTTCTCATCATTTATATACTAATCATTTTTTTTTATTAAGACTATAACTGAATCAATTCAATTGCATTAGATTCATTCTATAGAAATAGAAATATATTCGATATGAACATCATCATTCATTTACTGATATGAAATCTATTTTATAACAAAACATATTTTTGTGTTCAGACTACAGCAACAATAAGTCACAAAATGATTTTTTTATTTCACCTCTTCAATAAAAGTATTTTAATTTAAACAAAATAAAATCATCACAGTAATTATTCTAAATTACTTCCTACACAATTAATTTCCTTTGTTTTTTTGTTTTTAAACAATCCATTGAATCAAGAAGTTCCTTTTGACTTTATTTTCTTTCAGACTATAATATATCTGTTTGCATAAAATATCCTTTCAACAAAAAACAAAAATAACTACAAAATGTTTAACAATAAAAATTTCATTTGATATTTCGATGACCAAGTTCTTGACCAATATTAACTGATCTAGCTGGATTGGTTGTTACAACAGGTTTTTTTGTTGTCGATTTTTTATTATCAGTTCCTTCTAATTTATTAATCAATGTTGAAATATATGGTAACGAAAGTACGAAACCAAAACCCGGAATGGATCGAAGAACCGATATAATAACAGGGAAAAATCCACCAAATAGTTTATAAAATCCAATTATTTCAAGTATAACACCAACAATTGGCCAACGAAGAAGAAGTAAGGCAATACCAGCAAAAAAGCAAGCTGAGCCAGTTAAACGATCTGGCTGTACAAAAAATGTTCGTGCTCGACTAATTCCCTAGATGAAGAAATAATAATAATAATAATAATAATAATAAAAGAATATTTTTTTTATTTTCAAAAATATACTACATACCAAAAGAAGAATAACACCAACAATAAGAAATATATTACCAAGTGCTAATAAAGCTCGATCAAAAAATAGAGCAAAACCAAGTAAAATAAAAAAAAATGCAAAACCAATTAATCCAGCACCCATACGTTGACTATCACTTAGATCCCAGAAGGCCATGATATAAGAATATGAAGACAAAAAAATCTAAACAAAAGTAGATCACATTGAATACAAAGGTTATGTTTATTTAAAACACATTGTCTATGACAAGTATGAACGGGTCACGTTCAATCAACGCAATGAAAGTGAGCTTAATCAAATAGATATCAATCGTGCAATCTATAGAACAATCATACAATAAACATACATATACAATGAAAATAGGTACATCGTTTTTTCTTGCTTTTCTTTAAAAAAAAAAAGATTACATTTTTTTATGTTTTTCATTAAATTGCGCATTCTATATACTTTTTTTTCTTTGTTGACAATCGAAATGTGTCGCCTTAATGCATTCATTCTACAAATCATGTCGTCATTCGTTTATCAGGGACGTTTTTTCTTTCACTTATTACTCGGTAGTACTTTTTTTCGTTAAGTTTTTTCTTTTCTTTATTTTTCATGTTTACGACTAATACTAAGAGCAAAAACTAAAAAATATTATAATAATATTATCGTGTTGATTCGTCGATAATACAGGTAAAATAGCCTTCGGTAAAAAATCAGGATGTAGGGTGAATTAATGAAAGTTTTGTCTCATTCAATAGTTTAGAGTTTTATTTCATCATAAATAAACGAATAAAATAAAAGACAAACTTGAGTCATATATTCTTCTTTCTGAGTAACAGCTAACGTGGCAGGAAAAGAAAAAAAAGAGACAAGCCCGCATATTTAAAAAAACCATCACCACTTGATGACGTTTTACGCATTCGACTGCCTACACCGACTGCAGCTGTTTCTTTTTTGCATCTAAAACGGTAAGCACTTCGTCTTAAAATAAAAAAAATAACAACAAAAAATATTATCAATTTGTTGTTGCTATGAAAACACCTATATACTCTACGTAGAAGAAAAACGATAGCCAGACGTAATGAAGGTTATCTGAAGTTCGTAAATCAAAATAATAAGACAGAATCACTGAGCGCGTCACAGATGCATTTTTTTCTTATCGTTATTAATATGACAGTAAGCTTCCTCAAGGACATTATTTTTTCTTTATAAAAGAAACGACAGCATTGGGCAATAGACAATAAATTACAAAAGACAAAAAAAAACGGCTGCAAATACGCTTATTTTTTTTACTTTTTTTCCCTGGAATAGTATGACAAATGAAAGAGAATTTTCCCATATTTATATATATTTATTTATCTTCGTTGATCTATCGAGCGTCCTCTCTTTTTATTTCTATTGGATGAACAAAACTTGTTTTTCATGAGTCATAGGGGAAAAGAAATAAAAAAACAAGGAAGTTCTTTGTATATTATATTTTTCTTGTTCCTCTTTTAGGGAATAAAATTTTAAAATGATGATGGATCCTATTGCCGATCCATTTCTTAGCTTATACAATGATGGACAAATTCCATCAATACCAGATAGTTTATTGTTTTCTAATGATGATAACCTTGGGGGCATTGATCTTGATTTACCATTCCCAAGTCCAAATAAATTTGAACAAGAAACTATATCAAATATGGCGGATAATCCTGGTAAATAACTTTTTCTTTATTTTGTTTTTAATAATCTTAAATTCTTCTATTTTGTTTTTCTTTTATAGAATTTGAAACTGAATTAAAAAATTTCCTAGCTAATTTTCCATCACCAGACTCATCATCATCATCAAATGATTATTCAACAATTGATCTCTTAGAAGGTTTTCCATTTTCACCAGTTCAAAATGATTCGGATATAGAAAAAAATGAACCAACATTATTACCACCACCACCTCCACCACCTAAAAAATTACCGGTTATTATAAATACAACTAAAATTACTAATCAACATTTACCAAAAGTCGTGCAATTAACCAAAGGTAATGTTGTTTATATTCAAGCACCTAATAATTCAAATAAATCTCAAACAAATTTTATTCAATTAACCAATTGTTTACCAACAATATTAATTAATACATTACCAACACCAACACCAACACCAACAATAAATGAAGAAACAATTGCAACAACAACAACAGCATCAATTGAAGATTTACCTATGGATGACAGTGAATGTAAAAGAATTAAAACAAACACAACGATGTATTTATTATGTATTTAATCAATTTTAGATAATGATATTGACCATCTACCAATGACTCCATCAACATCAAGTGAATCACCTGATGAACGAACAACAACATCGCCGGATATAATTCATGATAATAATTATACTAAAACTCGTTTACATCGTCATCAACCTTATAGTTTAAATAAAAATTCATCAACAATGTTAACAAATCTCGAAGTAAATATTAATGTTTTTATTCTTTAATAGTTTTTTTTTCTTTATTATAATTATTTTATTTAGAAATTACCAACATCTGGTCCATTGTTATTAACAGATGAAGAATTAAAATTAATAAAACAAGAAGGTTATCAAATACCAACAAAATTACCATTAAATAAAACTGAAGAAAAAATCTTAAAAAAAATTCGAAGAAAAATTAAAAATAAAGTAAAAAATAAAATAACGATTATTCTTTTTTTGTTTTTAAATAAATTTAGTCATTTTTTTCTATATAGATTTCAGCTCAAGAAAGTCGTCGCAAGAAAAAAGAATATGTTGATACACTCGAACGACAAATCGCCAAATATATTGATGAAAATGGTGCACTTAAAGAACGTGTATCAACAATGGAAAAAAATCAAAGGTAATCATATACAACGACTTTTTCATATAAACAAAAACAATGTACTTTTAATTTTGTATAAGAAACTTTTGACTATACAGATGCGTGGGATTAAAAAAGATAATTTAGAAATTTCTATACATGCAGACATCAATTAATAATTTCAATCCATTAAAAAATTGATGATATATTTAGATTCAGTTATGTCTGTATATGTTATACCTTTTATGATTCTTTTTTTAGAAGGATATAAATTTCAGTAATCCAGAAGATTTATCTTTTTGATGAGAAAGCTTTTATCCTAGCTATTGATAGATTTGAATCTTGTAGCTTTTTTTAATGATAATTTCAAATATTCTTGTTCTATACTTCAATATAAAGATATATAGGATAAGCTTTTTTTCGCATCCTGTTGAACCTTTACCTTATCCTACAAAGTTTTTATCTCACTCTTCCTCAATCCTACTCTTATAGGAAGACTCGAAAAGTGATAACTATCCAAATAATGTCATGTTGGATGTGTAGAGGGTAAACCTTTTTTCGCACTTTGTACGCTGATTGAGAAAAATTTTCTAACTCTTGCTCTGCTCGGTAGGATAGGGTAATCCTACTACATATCTCTATTTGAAAATGAATCATACAATTTAGAATCAATGTTTGTAAATTCCAATATAATCATCGAACCCATCCAATTTTCCGTTCGAGATAGAAAAGAAAGGAAAAACTAATTTTCTTTTTATTAAGTGAGGTCATCATTCTATTAATATCCGTATCCGATTCAAAGAAATATTTGCATATGAAGTACTTATTGATAATAATCATCAAATTAGAAAAAAATAATAATTACCGAAAAATGAAAATTCACTTTTCTGATATCTATCAGTGATATGAAAATAATCAATAAGTAGGTCACCTTTATTGATTCTAAGGCAAATATGAGATAATTATATATAGAATATTATATATATATATATATATTGTAAGTTATTTGTTTCTAAAAATCAATATTATTATTATGAATAACTATAAAATTTTGACTGACTAATTTTAATTTGAAATTTTACAGATCACTAATGCAAGAACTTCAATCACTTCGATCAATGATCGGCAAAGGAACACCAACAACAGGCAAAGTTTTAATGGTAAAAAATTTTTCTATAATCATCATTTCTTTTTTTTATTTAAATAAGATTTATTTTAGGTTTTATGTTTATTTTTTGCTGTTCTATTTGGTATATGGTCACCTATAGTTAATAAACAATCAGTCGATGATTTTATGCGTTCATCAAATGATGGATCATCTTCACAACAAAAATCAGTAACATCATCATCATCAAATAATCCTGATTCATCTAATAATATACGTTCAACAACGTCAGCAAAATCCCTACTGGATCAACAAGATTTAATTAAACAAGAACCATCATATTCAAATTATATTCCAAATAATTATAAATCACGTGTACTTCTATCATTTGATGAACATGAACAACATTATCATGGACCTTATTTACCAGCAAATAATAAACATAAATTACTATCATCTCAACAAAAAATGGCTGCACCAGGATATACTTATTCAAATTCAGTTGAAAAATATATGAATAAAAAATTTAAATTAATACAAGAAGAACAAGACGAGAAAAAAAGTATGTTTCCTTTTCTTTTTTTTTTTCTAGGAAAATTTCCTTTATAATTTTTTCATTTATAGATAATTTAATACAACGAGTGTCATCAGGTTGTTTGAAACGACCATTAAATGTTGAATGTCCTCCATCAATAATACTTTCAAGTGATTCAACATATAAAACAATTCGACCGAATCATACATCTAATTATCGTATTAATGAAAAAGTTATTGTCATTGACAATTCAAATGAAAAAATTGATCATGACTCATTAGCAATTGAAAGTAAACCATTAAAAATAATTCGTGTTGAACGTACAACACCTGCAATTGGTAATGATACATTAAAATTATCACATCGCACAGTAAATGAATAAAAAAGAGTCAACAAAGGAAGAGCGAAAAACTGATTGTATAATTGTTACTGTTTTTTTTTTCCTCAATTATATTATATTTATTCTTTATTGTTGTTTGTGTATTATTAGATATTTGGCTTTTTCTTTTCACATATATAAATATATAAATGTGTGTGATCATCTGCTTTCTTGTTGTTGTTTGATTCTAAAAGAAAAAAAGCAGACTTATTTATCTCTATTTTATTCGTTTGGATTTTTATGTATGTGTCTATCCGTTTGTTCATTTTTTTTTTGTTTCTTTATCTTGCAACAAGAACTTTATAAACGTGTTATATTATTTGATTTTTTCAATATGAGAATTTCGGTAAAGCAAATATTTAATCTACCCAAATTCTTTTTTGTCTATAGGAAGTTTAAAAAAAACCCGAAGAACTTCATGATATCTAGTTTCTATTCATTAAATAAACCTGTTGATCAGTGGCGGAGCCAAGATTTCGGAGGACCTCAGCCTCTCTGTCGGGATTTTTCAAGAAAAAAATACATTTTTGAAAAATCTTGCTAATGGTGGAGCGACGATTGAACCTTTTTTGCCCCTTTCCTTGGCTCCATCAATGCTGTTGATGATTATCATACATAAAAAAGATTTACTAGTGAACAAGGATTAGCAAACAAAAAATGTTCTAGTCATTTAATACTCTTTCAGACGGGATGGATTCGTGTGACTTTTAACCGAACCGAAAAAATCTGAAACCGAATGGACCTCTATTTTCGAAAGTTCGGGACGCTTCGTTCCCATCTCTTGTTGGATAAACATTTTGGGACTATAATTGTACTATGAGTTTAAAGTGTCAACAATCAAACAATAGAAAACTACTTTCATTAATATCTATTTGTACCAATAATAATAAGAAATGAAGGTTTCTTAAATACATGTCAATATGACTTGACCGAACCAAAGAACGACAAAAAAACATACTATTAGTAATTTAATAAAATCATTGAAATATTTTCTGCCTCACCGAAAGGTCAACAATGAGTAATCATAGTATGTCGGGTGAGTAGAAACAATTGCTCTTGAGTATTGAATTTTATTCAGTTCTATTTATTATTTTTAGCCAATTAAAAAAGCTAACAGTAGTAAAATGTTATGTTTTTTATTTAAATTGATAAAATTTATTGCGATGATGTGAACGCTTATATTATGAAGATTATTTTTTCTGTGGACATATTTTCTTAATTAGCAGTAATATAATTTGCAATTAAAATATAACTGTCAAAGTATTCATACCGATAGACTCAGATATGAAAAATTCAACTGTTTTTTTAAATGGAAATCTCTCATTTTGTAAATGAAAACAGGCAAATTCTCATATATTAGACCTTTCCTGAAATCTATTTCAAAGTATAATGCAACACGGGGTCAAAAACAAAAATCGTCATTTTTTATCTCACCTATTCTAAAAATCCTTTCGTTGCCGTGCTTTAAGAAGTATAATATATCTCTAAATCGATTTCACACAAATTTATTATTGATTAATAATGCTCTTGTTGAATGATGGATAACATCATCAAATTTTTATTTAAAAAAACCGTCTGTCACAGATATTGCTTAACAATATTACTTGCAGACTAAAATATGAATATTTAACCTTTGATCGATTTACAAAAAATTGATTGAATATATTCTGCTTCATCTATTTATAGAAAATCTATTCTTATCAAGCGTACTTACTGGAATAAGGTGCAACTCGTCTCATATACGGATTATTAAACTTGATTTCTGTTTTTTCTTCAAAGACCAATGAGCTGTTTTATCAAGGATAACTAAACAAGTATTTGTAGTTAAACATGTTTAGTTCCTTGTCATCAAAAAATGACGACTAATTAATAGTTTTTTTTATTTCATCAATAAATTTTATTCAGTAGTATTTTATGAAGAAAAACAAGTACTACGTTGCATTAGAGAAAGTTATTGTAAAAAAAGAAATGAGAACATAATTCAAAAGTTCATAAGATAATAGTGAAAAAAATATTCTTCTAATGTTTTATTAATCTTATTAAAATATTCATCTAATAGCAATGAGCCTTTTTCACATCATTTCATTAAATTGAGAATTCGTTGATTTCAAAAAAAAAATTTATTTTGTGAAAGTTCGTTCATATTGTTGTCAAGTTGTTTTATCATAGTCAAGTTGAACTCCATCATCTTTCTTTAATTCATCAATTGCTACCTATAAATTTAGATTAGAGGCAGCAATATTTTCTTTAAATCGGCATTGCCCAGCCCTTTAACCAGGGCGTGGATGTGGACGTGGGAGTAGAGAAATCTAATATCGATACTCACGCCACATCCGCTAATTGAAAGCGTTTCTCTAGCCTTTTTAATAATGGTAATGTTCGTTTTAGATATTTCGGATCGTGTCATTGCTGTTTAGTGTAGTTCTGTCTCTTTGATGAGAGAACGTTTTCAACTGATTAATTACTTCCACAATGAAAGCTCGTGAATTGTAAGTTATTGACCATGTCAATTTCGAATATGACCATAAGAAATTCGCTTATGTTTTTATATGCTAGTTTTCTTAAAGAACAAACTTTTCGTCAAAAATTGTTTTTACTTTATGCAGATTATAGAACATAATGAATTGTCAAAGGAATCGTAGCCTTTTCTGTTTCAAATCATTTTTGTTTTGCAGAAAAAAAAGCCATTTGAATTAATCTGACAGATATATATTAACATTTCAATTGTGAAAATCTCTAAGATAATATTATTTTGTTTAAGATTCGATCTTAGAAAATTGAAATGATTATAGTCTTATAGATACATTGATATGCTCTATAATCTGAGTAGGTTCAAAAAAGATTTAAGCAAAATATTTGTTAGCCTACAAAACCAGCATATAAAGATCGAAGAAGATTTCTAATGTTCATATTCCAAATCAGCATGATCGATAGTTGATACTTAAGTAGCTTTCAAAATTTCTTCAATAAAACTCTGAAATTGTTTAGACAAAAGCAACCGTCGATGAAACAAGAATATATCCTACAAATTATCAAAATTTGATTGTTTTTTCTTGCCTTGAAGGTCAACGACCTGCTTTATCACTGATAACTAAATAAATATTTACGATGAAAGCAGTATATAGTATATATAGAATGGGGTTAAAATGGAAATAAATGTATATCTCAATAATGTTAATAAATTATTCATGAGCAAAGAAAGAAAAAAAAAGAATGAAATAAATTTATTTAATCATTAGTTTCTCTTTAATTTTTCAAGATGATAATAATAAGTGTATTTATTGTTTGAATCAAATTTGATTCATACATATACATATATAAGGAAAAACAACGACAAAAAGAACGAAATCTAGAGTACACACAGAAAACACACATATACAAATAACAGTCCATTTGCTGCTAATCTATTTCATATTATATAATTTAAGCGCGTTCACCACGAATACGTCGAGCCAATTGAATATCTTTTGGCATAATCTAAAGTTTTTTAAAATATTAAATCAAATTTTAAAAAAAAACTTTTCGTTTCTTACCGTGACCCGTTTAGCATGAATAGCGCATAAATTCGTATCTTCAAAAAGTGAAACTAAATAAGCTTCACTTGCTTCTTGAAGTGCACCAATAGCTGCCGATTGAAAACGTAAATCTGTTTTAAAATCTTGTGCGATTTCACGAACAAGTCGTTGAAATGGTAATTTTCGAATAAGTAATTCGGTTGATTTTTGATAACGACGAATTTCACGCAATGCAACCGTACCTGGACGAAAACGATGTGGTTTTTTAATACCGCCTGTTGATGGAGCCGATTTACGTGCGGCTTTTGTAGCTAATTGTTTACGTGGAGCTTTTCCACCAGTTGATTTACGTGCGGTTTGTTTTGTACGTGCCATTGAATATTATTTAAATCTGAAAACATAAGAAAAAATAAATATATAATATTTCCTTGAATTATTATAAAAGCGCCATCTTTACTGTTTCTTAACATATAACGATTGTCTTTTTTTCTTTCTTTCTCTGACATACCCACTTTTTGACATCCCTCTCTCCTTTCTTAGGCGGCAACCGGGTAACATTATACAGAACGAAAGAAAAATGAAGAAGTTTATTCTGTCTATTTTAACTTAGGGTATGTTTTTTTTGTACTGTCTATTCTATGTCTGGGACTTTTAAACTAGGAAGATAGGTATCTATATAGACAAGAAAAATTCTATAAATTATAAATTTTATCTTTTGTTAATGTAAATATGAAAAACGAACCATTTTTTTCTTTTCTTACACTTAAATACAGAAAGAGAAAAACAAGTTAGTCATTTAGTTTGTTGTTTTTTTCCTCTTTTAAAATATCAATAAGTTCAAAAAAAAAAATTATTTTTCAACTTTGGGTAAATTTTATTCTTATCATCTTATATTCATGGAAACGAACTTTTCCCGTTTTGTACTTTTCTGTTTTTACTCGCTCGGTTATGTGTGCGTACTCGACTGCTTACTTACTTGATGTTGTATGTGGGTCGAGTCGTCGTCAGTAGTATGTGTGTGTGCTGCTCGTCAACGAGGATAATGCAATGAGAATGAGCGTTTTGCAGTGGTATATATAGTGCAACAGACATACAAGCTCGAACCTCCTCCACCAATGAATTTGTGTGCAAGAAGTTTGTGAGGCTCGACTATTAGGAGAATGGTGGATGATGGTGCTTATATTTATTGTTGTTGTCTTCGAACTAATGTCGGTAAGACGAGAATATAGAAGATTCGAGAATGTTAAATGAAAGGGACATCGATTGACGGTTTCAGAAAGAAAAAGAGTAACGGCCGAACAACCAAAGAAAAAAAAAACCAAGAAAGAGAGAAAGATATAAAATTGTCCATTGTTGCTTCTACGACTTGGAAGATATATTTATCTATAGGAAAAGAAAGGAGAACGGGAACGAGAGGAAGGGATCGCAAGCGAACCTTGCAATGAGCGATAGATTTAGAATGAAAAGAACGAATAAATATCTTAACACATAGAACTTAAAGTGACGAAGGATTTTTAAAATAAATAAATAATTAAGATTGTACTATTATAGATGATAGCCTTCCATCAGCAACTTATAAAATATATGAAGACGAAAGAATCAACAAAAGAAAAGAACGAAAGAGAAAAAATACGAGGAGGAGGAGGAGGAGGGGGAAAAGACATGACGATGTTATAGAATGACGTTGGAAGGAAAGGAAAGAAAGATTTTCTCGATACAAAGGCGGTTTCAAATATATTCAGATAAAACAAAAGAATAACCTTAATTAATAAAAAAAAAGAAGTAAATAAAATATCGTAATTAGAATGAAACATACCGTATGGACATGAGCGCCATCTATGTCGCAATATAAACTTGTGAAAATAAAAATATATATAAATAAGAAGAACACGTCTTAATAATGAGTGATATATTAAACATTCGAATTCGTTTTAGATTAATAAATAGATAAGAATGAAAAAAATTTTTTCTCATAAAGAAACAAAAACTGGACAAGTAACATCATCAGAATCATCATCTTCTCCAGCATACTATCATCATCCATCTTCATCTTCTTCTTCAACAACAGATTCTTATTCTCATACAGCAAATTCAACAGCAGGCTATTCACAAAGAAATGCTTATCCGACATTAACACAATATAATCAAGAACATGAAAAAAAGGTTTTAGAAAAATTCATTGTTTTCTTTTTTTTTGTATTACATTTGTCACTTGATTTCTAAATTCTTTAGACTTTACTTGAAAAAACTGAATCGTTTGCAACAAATTTACTTGGAAATATTGTTGGAGAAGATACTATTGTTTCGGCAACGAATACAATAAATAATGTAATCACTGGTGGACATAATGCGCGAGTACGATTAAAACAAGGATTTACTAAATAGAAATTCATCGAAATTTTTTTTCAAAAGGATCTTCTTCAAAATGGTGCTATTGTTCAATTGGTTTCGAAAAGTTCAGGTCATTTACTTCAAGTTGTTATGTCTTCATATGACACTCTTGTATTTGATGGAAATGGTACTATGAATTCATTCAATAGTAAGAATTTCGAGATTAATATATTAAATATACTCATCATTCTGCTCATTGAGTATATTTTGAAGTATTCAACAAAAATAAATTTCAATGACAAATGCAAATATTTTATCATTGATCCCAAATTTCTGGATGATAACTTTCAGGAAATATCAAGTCATAATAAATTTGATTGAATCAGTTTTGTCAATGGATTTCCTATTAAATTATACAAAAAGAATGATATCATGCAATTATGACCAATAAGAATATCCAAATAGTATCAGATAGAGATAGAAAGGAAAAAACAGTTACGAATCAGCTTGAGTCAATTCTCAATGATCAGCTTCCATTGGAATCGAACAAAAACGACTATACGAAAGGACATTCAGAAATATATAACTATAGCGAAGATTTTTTTGTATAAGATTTATCCGAAATCAACAAACAAAGTAGACATCTGGAAATTCTTACCGCAGATAGAGCATGTTAAATAAGGAGGCATCTGCTCGAGGAAAAACTTTTAAACAGAGTTTTTCTATTTTGCTGGAAACCTTAGTTTTTCACAGGACAACATTAAGCTGGCTTACATCCCTTAACTTTGTTCGAGCGGACTGAAATTTTGGCGACTGATAATTGAAAGTATTCCCGCTAGGTGAAATTGGCCGTTTTCATTTTTGAACTTCCTATCCAGATTTATAGAATCCTGAATACTAACATCCCAGTTTTGGATGATAACCTTTACATATTTATCTCATAAGTAAAAAAAAAAAGAACGCGAGATTTATGAAAAAAAGTAAAAGCCTTCTTTGAGATATAGTCTAAGGTATGTCCAAAAAAAAATTTTGGTCCGATCGGACACAGTTAGACAGATTGTACCTTATTCGAGGAGCAGAAACCGTTGAAGAAGACGGAGATTTCTTTAAATAATATCTGAACGACAATGCACAATTTATTCTATATGATAAAATTAAAATTGATTTAGTATTTTTTTTTGTAAGAAAAAGATTTCAGAGAAAATATGAGTAGCTCATACAGGGATTCTAAATTCATAATCGTATAAGTATTTCTTTTTGCTTTTAGCTTATTTCAATGTGGAAAAAACTGAAAAAGGACGACTTCGATTTCATAATAATTATAATTATTTAGCATTTGATGGCAAACAAGCTTGTGTCAAGTCATTCGTATGTTGTCATATGAATAGATTTTGATTTGAACGGTATAAATATTTGCATGTTTTATTATTTTTTTCATTTAGCCATCTGGTGCTAAAAATGATCCTAGTGTAGAGTTTCGTGTACATGATATATTTGGTACTAGTGAATTAGTAGCATTTGAATCTTGTACATGTAAAAGTCATTTTATTTCGATTTCAACGGATGGTCATCTGAAAACAACGAATACTAAAGAGAAAAATGTCGATGCGCAATTCTCAGTTATAACAGTTGTAATTGAAACATTTCTTTTTTTATTAATGTTATATCTAACTTTATTATTTATTGCATTTTTTTTAAGGTAAATAATCAACAATCAATGTTTCCCTATCAAGCACAACCTTATCAACAGTTTAATATGAATCCATATGGCGGATTTCCACCTAATAGTGTGAATTCATCTGTGCTTCCTCATCCATCGATGTATTATCAACAACCAACGGCACCTCCTCCTCATTCTGTTCCATCTTATGCACAAAATCCATGTAGTCAACCATCGACGTCATCTGGATTGTATCCAAAATTTAATTGAATGATAATTTTTCTTTAAAATTTGTCCAACTGAGCCAGTTTATTTTTTACATCTGAAAGACAATGACTCTAGTAGTTATTTTATATATATATTTAATAAAAAAAGAATTGATTGTTCCATTGTATTCTTAATTTACTTTGATCATAGATTGAAACATAGTGAGAAAATGAAATCATGTACATCTGTCTTTCTATAATGGTCGTTGGACCACATATTTCTATCGCAGATACAATCTTTGATTACTTAACTCATTCTGAAGCTTTTAGTACTGTAGAATGAGAGTTACATGAGAAAATTACAAATATGTCTTTCATGTATCCATATGTCAGTGAAACCAAATTCTTTTTTCTCCTACTGAATTTTCTTTTTTGTCCCTTTGTTTAATAAAATCAAACTTTGAAGCATGAGTCTGCTTGCATAGATCTTTTTTTAGATATTTTTCGAAGGAGCCTTTTTTAAAAGCTTGAAACATTACAAAATCTTCCTGATTCGTTTAAGTTTGATGTTATTCAATAAGGAGAAAAAAAACGAAAATTCAGCAAGACAAAAAACAAATTTTGGGTTTCAATAGCAAGTAGGTACAGAAAAGACGTATTTGAAGTTCTCTCAATGAATTCTTATTCTACAATACTAAAACTTATAGAATAAGTCTAGTAGTCAAAGATGTATTTGTGATAGAAATATGAAATCCAGTGACAATCTTAGAGAGACATAATCGAAAAAATTAATTGTGTAATTTTTTTTTCAGAAGAATATATTTCACTATTGACACAATTAGCAAATGTATCGAGACATATTTTATTAAATATACATCATCATTCTTGATTCTTTTAAGGGCGCTCCCCCCCCCCTCTCAGAAACCAACTTTGTTATTTTTCATCCGATTTCAACCAAAATTTCAGAGAATGTTAGTCTTGGTTAGAATAGATTATGATTAAAATATCTCCAGAAATCTGCGAGCCATTCACGAGTTATAGTCAGTTCATTGGTCAAAAATACCCTTTACGCGGGCAAGATTTTTAACATGAGGATACTAGCTAAGCATGTCGATGTGGTTTTCAAATTGTAGAGTGCCCCTAGGGCTAGGTCGTAATAGAGTCCGATTTTTCAATTTCTCTTTTGCTGAAATAAAAAACTTAGATATTTCATTTTTATTAGCACTTTTTCGGCCATGAATTTGAAAATTTTTCGAAAAAGTATTTTTAAAAATCAAATAAAGGGAAATTCAGAAACTGAACTCTATTAGGATCTAGTCCCAAGGATACTCTACAACTTAAAAACCAGCCCCGCCTTGATAGCTCATATCCTCATTGTGAAAACCTTGCCCGCGTCCAAGGTACTTTTGACCAATGAATTGACTAGAACTTGTGCATATCTTTGAGATTTGGGGGAGATATTTTAACCATAATCTATCCTAGCCAAGACTAACATTCTCTGAAATTTTGGTTGAAATCGGATGAAAAATAACAAAGTTGGTTTCTGAGGGGTGGGGGGCTTAAAACATATCTTTTTATTTCAAAGAATTATTACGTCTTCAATCTTTTATATTATAATATTCTGTGTTTTGTATATCATTCATCATATTTAAAAAACGTATATTAAAATCTTTCTTCTTCGTCTTCTTTTTCGGAATGATTCTCTTCATTGCTACGTCTTTTCTTTTGACAATGTCGCTTCACATCCGATTTAGTCAAACGAATGTCAAATGTTAGTAAACAAGTGAGAAACATAGTAATAAATATTATGACACAGATCAATAACATAAATACAGCAGCTGTAATAATTAATTGTTGAATAATAGGTAAAATTTCATCAAAACATCCATTAATATTAATACGTTCTTGTATTTCATTCATATTGATTGTCATATTATGTGATGCTAATACATTTATTCCTATCAATGATATATAAAATAAATGAATTGAAGTATTAAACAAAATCATCATACCACAAGTGAAAGCAAGAGATTTCATATAGATATGTTTATCATCCTAAAATTTATTAAAAAATAAAATGCAAACAAAAAGTTTCTTTGTCACTATGAATATTAAATCAAAAGTTTTCTTACTACTTTCTGTTCTGTTTTGCAGCATGTAAAAGGTATTGAACAAGCATCTATAGATGATTAATTAATATTAATTAATTTCTAATAAGAAAAACCATACCAAGACTTTGAGAAATATTCGAGGATATACATGCATAATTTGGATTGTCATTCCAATCATTGAATGAATAAACACCTAAATAGTCAGCGATAAGAAGAGTTATACAATAATATAATTCTGTCTGACTGAAAAGCATATGACGTTCTTGTGTAACTTATGCGAAATAATGATGACTACTTTTGGATTAAATTATGAAATCGACTGCAATTAAATATTTGACGATTTTCAATAAGTGACAACAAGAAATGTTGAAGCATGTGAAGTGGAACGAGATCCAATGAACTATGAAGTATAAATTATCATGCCAGTACATGATCCTAGCTTTTTGACCCTTTTCATGGGGAAAAATTTTCTTAACTAATGAGGAAGATACTTCAACTGATTCCAAGTCTTTAGTTTCATCTTTTGTTTAAATGTAGGTCTCAGTAAAACTAAAGGAAATTTAAAAAGCTTCGTGCTTACAACTCTTCATTCTCGAAATAAAGTGAACGTTATGATGAAAACAGAATTTTTTTCTGTTATTTTCGAGCTGTTATTTATATATATTATTCTAATAGCTTCGGACAAAAAATATGACAAACGAATAATATTACACAGTATTTGCCCTATCCAACTTTTAAATCTTCAACTCGATGTAATTATGATATTTCAAAGCAAATCAGAAGTTCAACATCTCTTTTCATTGTATAGTAACGAACTGAAAAAACAAGCAAGTTTTTAACAATATTGAACTTTGTCAGGATGAGTCTGTAGGTATTCATTTGTATACTATGTATAGTGACGCTAGTCTGAGAAAGAGAAGTGCAAATCATTAGAAAATAAATGCCTAGTACTAATTTAAATAATACTATTTCGATTTTATATGTTTTTAGAATTTTCTTAGTCACATTAAGATCTACTTCTAACCAAAATATGAAGTTGAAAACAAGATATCCCTTAGATTATTTCCGTTGTAAACTCTAAATACTATATACATTGGTATGTCTTAATATTGACTTTCGGCACAATGAATACTATTTAATTCTATAAGGTGTAAATTTTAAAAAAAGGAAAGAGAATCTAGTGCTATATATCCTCTGACAGATACAGTTTCAATCAATTCGCAAAATTCAATACAAAAGAATGAAAATTAATGATAGATAATAATTCATATATAATAATCTTGAATGATGAAATTATATAAAAATAGTTTGAACGCATAAATACATGAAGATATAATTTGTTTTAGCTCATTTAGTCATGTCATAAAAGTAAGTTTTTGTTTAAATTGAAATCATATTTACATACCACAACAAAAATAATTTAAATGAAGTTTATCAAAAAAAACTGTCCATGCTTTATCTATATGGTAATATTGTTTCAATCCAATCATCATTGCATCAGCTATTTTATGTCGAATTTTTCCTCCCCATATTAATATTGTAATAGAAAATATTAAAAAAATAATTAATGTTAAAAATTGACCAATAAGTGAAATACGAAGAAGATTTAAATTTTCTCGATTTATACCTAAACAACTTATTACACATAAAATAAAAAATAATAAACCAACTATGCAAAGAATAATTCCAATTAAATTAAATGGATTTAATGATGGTGTATCTTTTGTATTTATTGTTGATATATGACTAATTTTACGATGTTCAAATGAACTCCATAGACCAATAAAGAATAGAACAAAACCTAATCTAAAAGATTTCTTTTCACATGAATTTTTTTAATGAAAATATACATTGAGTAGTACCTACAAGCCATTGGTAAACATAACACCAAAAGTAAAATATTTTAATAGACCATTAACTCGATTAACTTGCGATTTTAAACATTTTGAATCAAATATATATTTAGATGTTTGATGAAGTCTTGTTTTCGATGAACAACATTGTTGAAATGGATCTATGAACCATTTTATTCCTGATTTTAATTTATTTTTGCATGTATATTCAATATTTAAGTCAGATCGAGATAAATTTTGTATACTATTACTGTGATGTGAAATAGATAAAATTCCTGTTTGATTAAATTTATAAGAAATCGATGTTCGTGATGATTGTGTAGGTGTTGAAATCATCTATATTTTCTATATTTGCTGCAATTTTCACGAAGAATGTATCGGCGCCAGTTAACATATAATTATCTCAGCAAATGAGTTTCGAATTAACAACTAATGAATAAATTATTTTAACATGTAAAGTCTCTAGAGGAACAACAATAAGGTTTTGCTGTAGAAGTTTTATCAATTTTTTTAATGCTCACATAATGAGGGATCCACGAAAAATTATATTTATCCCGTTTTACTTTTAGTCCCTTCAAGTTATCCCATTAGTCCTTTTAGTTCCTTTGGTTCCTTTAGTCCCTATAATCCTTTTGGTTCCTTTTTAGTCCTATCAATCCCTGGAGTCCTTTTAGTGCTTTTAATGCCTTTAGCACTCATTGGCAGCGTCACTTCAACGGCACTGGTGCTCACACCCACACCTATATTCTAATAGGTCTAAAGGGACTAAAGTGTAGCGAATATGGAAATCTTACCAGTTTCTACAGCATAAAAGTAAAACGGGATAAAATTATTTTTTCGTGAACCTATGACCTTGTGCACGAAATACATCATGTATTTGTTGTTAGGTATAAACCCATTTAAAATAGATAAGAACGATTGCAGCAGCAAAAAAAACACTAATGTATAAAGTAGAATTAGTAATATCATAGTTGTACTATGAAAGTCTAGGAAGAGAAAAGTACTACTCAGTGAGATACGACACTTAAAAAATATGTGAACATGTTGACATGTGCAAGTTTTTTTTAGATTTACCCGCTTTGAACTGTTTATAGCGCAAATTTCACGAGTTTTACCGCGTTCATAGGTTAAAACACGTGTTGATGCGGAAAGATTAGCTTAAGAAACATATTTTTCAGGTATTTTTTTTAACGGATACTATTATATTCCAAAATTGCTCGTTATTTCTGTTCATTTTAACCGTTTCAACACGTTGAAAAGAATTCATTTCTTGAGAGTAGTTTAAACATAGAATGTGTAGCTCATGTAATTGACAGTCTAGCTTTCTTAGAAGTATTAAAGTTTTTAATTTTTGTTTCACCGTGGATAAGTGACGAAAGTTTTGGATACTTTTGCAGAATATGCACCATCCTTACTCACACAGTGATTTTCGTGTGATATAACGCGCACGTAGATAAGGACCTTGCATATCGTGTAGAAGTTGCAAGTTTGTGAACGATTATATAATTAAAAAGTGATAAAGAATAAATCTAGAATACTATTACTAGCGTTTAATATTGTTAAAAGTGAATAACAAGTTTAGCAATCATACAACGAAAAAGTAACTATGCTTGAAGCACATCATAAACAAAAAAATACATTGTTTCTACTGAAGAGGAATCATTGAAGAATAATTACCTATTTCTTTTCTCTGTTACATGCTAATACAATTCTTAATAAGAACTGTATCAGCATATTGTGCATTAAATGATATTTTTGGCAAATCACATGAGTAGCTACTTTTTTTTTCCTTCGATGAGTCAAAGGAGAGTTGTACAACATACTAGAAATAAAATTTTCCATTTAGACAAATGAAGAAAAATATAAATCCATTATGGAGAGATTGAAATAAAAAATTACGCTTTTGTTAAGTTTTTTCCACCTGACCTCCGTTGACAATGTGTTCTAAGTTTTCATGAGTCGTGATCTTTTTAGAATCATATAATATATATAATACTCATGTTCAGAATAATTTTCATTATTATCGCATCATCGTTCTGAGAAACTATTTCAAGTCCGCAAAAAGTGATTTAATTGATCCAGCCGTTTATAAACACGTTGAAATCATTTTTTTGTTTTTTTTTTCCTCAGTTCTTATAAGTTTTATTTTTTTCAGTTAACTATCCAAGTCGAAAAATTCAGTGACCAGGATTCAGATACGAATTTCATCGGATTTTATCGAAATCCGACGAAAACCGACAAGATAACGTCTGAATTTGCTGGTATCTAATCGAATTCGGTTATCAAAATTCTTTTCACTGGATTTCTGGTCACTTCTGATAGAATACTGCCAATATTAAGACGATCCAACAGAATCCGATGGATGAGCTTCGACCTGGGTACCTCTTTCGTTTTCATGATTCACCCAATCAGTCATATATTCGCTACACGATAATGTCAATAGTTCTCTTTCTCTCAAATCAATCACCAATTCTTCTTTCATATCTTTTTTGTTTCTATTCAGTGCAGAATTTGATATATGTCTTTCTTGGAACTTATTGCATTTTTCCTTCGTATAGTCTATCAAGAGATGATATACTTGATAGATCAGTACTTTCATGCGAGCGACTGGATATAGATCAATCTTTCAATTTTTGTGCTTTCATTGAAACTGGACGCTGATTAGGTAACCTTGTTATAGTTATAGCAATCGATCGTTATCATTGGTATTTATTTTGTGTCTTTCTTTTTGTTGTTTAGAGTCATATAGTATTGTCTTTTTTAGCTTTTCTGTTTAAATCAACAGAGATAGGGAGAAAACGAAGAGCATTAATTAGATATTATTCTTAAAATTTGATTATATATATGATTTTTTCATAAATATCGGGTCTATTTGAATTCTTTATATTTTTCCAGTATTTAAAGTTAGGCAGAGATTGAGGATATATATTTCAAGCGCAATATCTACATTATTGCCCAAAATTTATTAAGCACAACTGCCGTTTTTAATAAGAAATTTTTTTTTGGAAGTCCTCTCTTAGAATAATTGCATCAAATCGGCTTTTTCTATTTCTTTTACATTATATATTCTTCATCTAAAGTATATAGGAAACTGACGTTCAAACTTAGTTTAGCATTCTACTAAATAAAATACATCTGCAAAAATTATTTTAATATTTAATAAATGTTTTTCAATAATGTACTTGTTTTTAATGATCATGACAATTTAGTGAATGAAATTTGGATAGTTGCTTCGATGTATGTAATGTTCAATATGTATCCTCAATGTTTATTTAACTTGAAATATTCGAAAAATACAAAAACGTCACGATGAACTCGAAACATATCAAACACGCTTTTATTTACATATGTTACTTTCACACAACGTCCAGTAGTTATATGATATACTTGTAGTTATAATAGATTTTATAATAAAGTTTCTCATGTCACTCAATGTTTGATTTCTGAATAGAGTAAGTTACTAGACAAAATAGTTCTATTCATGAACTTAGCTTTCTAGAAAATACTTAAGATGAGTTCTTACCTAAAATTAAAATAACAAATAGTTCATCCAAATTATTTTTCTCGCAAATTAAGTGCATGGAGTGGACTATTTTCTCTACCAGTTTACTCAGTTCAGCTAACGAACGTGTAAAAATGCGTTAGAACTTTTCGACGAACATACATTCGTTAAAAACTTTAATGCGTTATGAACGTATAACAATCTACGATTTTCATGATTTTATTTCCGTTGAAATTCCGATGAGTTCTTTTCGTTGTTTCTCCGACCAGGTAGTACTCGATTGTAGTCAATATAAGCAAGACACCAACCGTATATGAGGTCGCGAAGATACAGCTGTTCTTCTCTTTCACGATCGCGGCAAGCAACTTGTCCATAGAGATCAACAATAAGAAAAAAAACAACGATGTGCATGATATTACCAATTATTCTTTCTCCCTCCATAGACTACAAGATAGGTAATGGGAAGTTCTATGGCTAATAGCTCAACATGTATTAAAAATTATCGGTCTCAAAACTATACATGAGTAACTCAAAAGATAAAATACACTCAGATCTTCGAAAATAATGTGCGATCAAATCTCTTCTATTAGATTATGCAGAATGCCGTAATACCAATATTCTGATATATTTCTTAAGTCATTGTCAACATTCACTTTCTCTATATCACCAACAACTCCAATCACATCTGAACTCAATATTGGATACAGTTATAAGTATATCCTACAATCTTCAGCTTGTCAAAGCGCAAATTTGTTTCTCACTATTAGTTCAAGGTATTTTCGTTTTCACCGATGTTTTTAAAGTCTATATTACAGGACGAACATAAACGAGTGTACAAAGAGCAATTTCACGGAAGAAGAAAAACTATGCTTTTCATGTCCGGCATGCTACAAAAGCTATTAAGAGAAATGCTTGATCTTCTCACAAATTCGTTATTCAATCTATTTATGGTATTTTTATCTAAAACTACCATCGCTCTCTAAAACCAATACAAAGACATTAACAATAATATTTATATAAAAACTTAGGGATAGATATATAGGTCTTTTTCTAGAGGAATATCAGTTTACAATTCACGTTTACTAATGTTAGCCATTAACCCATATTTTGGTCGCATTGTTATTTTAACATCAGGCACAATCTTTTGCCCTGGTACTAAGTCAAAATTACATTGTTGTATTAACATAGCTAACATAATTTTAGCTTCTAATAATGCAAAATTTTGTCCAATACAATTACGTGGTCCAGCAGAAAAAGGAAGATAAGCGAATGGATGAGATAATTTTGGTTTGAGACCTGTTTTAGGATCACGCATCCAACGAGTATAGTCAAATTCAAGAGGTCGAGGCCAAAGATCACTTCGACGATGAAGAATATAACTATTAACAATAACAGTTGCACCCTTTGGTATACGAATTTTACGTTCAGTACCAATAACATGTTCACGTACACAGTGACGTACGAGGAATGGTGCTGGTGGATAAAGACGAAGTGTTTCATTAACGACTGCTTCACATACTAGTAAATCGGGTAAATGTTCATTTGTAGGCTCTATACCATTTGGTAAAACTCGATCAACTTCTTCACGACACGCTTGTAAAGCATTTTCATTAGTCATTAAAACATATAACATCCATACCATAAGAGTTCCAGTCGTTTCACTACCCGCCAGTACAAAAGTAAGAGATTCTTCTTTAATTTCTTGATCATTGAATGGTTTTCCTTCATCGTCAACAGCTGAAAGTAATAAATCAAGAAGATCAGGACCATTTGACCAACTTGATGATCGCCCTTGCCGACGATCACTAATGATTTCATCAAGAAATTCACCTACTTTTCGATTTCCTTCATCAAGAATATTTTTACCCCAAAAAGGTAATCGTGAAAGAAAAGGAATTTGATTTATCATATGCATCGATCGATATTCAGTGATATCAAGTAATTGAGCAAATGTTCGAGCAATAACATCTTTTGCATGAGCATTTGTTTCAAAGTCTGCACCAAATGCACTTGATGCAATGATAGATAATGTCAACGCATTGAATAAAACTTGTAAATTAACAGATTTCGATTTTTGTTCACTAGGTATCATTGATTCAATAGCTTTGGCAGTACGATCAGTAATAATAGAAACCATAGATTTCAGGCTAATATGATGAAATGCTGGATTAATCATTCGACGAGCTCGTTCATGCTCACTACCTTCAGCTACTAATAAATTATGAGATCCAACTATCGGAATAAATACGGCACTAGAATCTACAGGTCTCACGTAATTGGGTGCATTATTTCTGCTAAATAAATCAGCAAGTAAATCCGGTTCATTCAGTATAAGACGTGTAAACGGACCGAGACCAAATAGGAAAACGCAACCGTGTTTTTCAGCTAGTTCTTCTTGATAAATCATCAACGCGTCATTGTTGACTTGTCTCCTGAACTCAGGAAGTTGACCAATTAAAGGTATAAATGGTTCTCCACCTATGCCTTGTGTACGAAATGCATGATGTATTCGTTTTTCCGGATAAATTATTTTGAAATAGATAATAGCGATCGTAATAAGAATAAAAAACAATAATGTATATAACAGAATTAATAGTAACATAGTTGTTCAATGAACCTGTATTAAGAAAAAAACTAACAGTAGTTGATGATGATAGTCGATAAGAGCAAGAAACCAATCATAAACGATGTCGCAGTGATATGAATTGTTCTTTTCTTTCTTAGCTATAGGAGCTTCATGAGAGGACGAAGATAAGAAAAACAACTATCTATATGGCACTGTCGATAGCTTTCTTTCGTTCATATATTGCAAGATATACAGTGAGCAGGTAGCCGTTCCAAATACGTTGGTAACCTCATTTAGGCAAACTGATTATAAATTATCGTAAGAAGGCTGAATAAAATTATTTAAGAATTTTGGGAAATTTTGTCAAGTTCTGTTGAGAAAATTTCATAAAAGGATAATTCCTTTTAGGGAGGGAGGTAGCTCTCTCAACCCTCACTTTACTGGGTACAATCCTGTATCAAGTGTAGGGCAATCAAAAAGCTTGCGCATTCAATATTTCAATCGTTTTTCCATTTTCATAGGGTGATCAAGGATTTCGGATCGTTATGACCTAATGTCTCTTTCAATAGACATTTTCTTCATCATGTCATAGTGCATCGATAGATCGGTGAAAACATTGTGTGATAGTTTCATCCGATAGTCGAATGATGTCACTCGCGATAACACTTTAAAAAAACAGATTTTCTTCCCGTATTAATCAAGAAAAGATGTTTCAAAATGAAAAATTGACATTTAAAAAATCACAAGCCGTAAAAGCTCAATGTTTTGTCTGACAGTTACTCAGAATTGATTTTTTTCTTTTTTTGTGACCTATAAGGTCATCTGAGTTGAAGAAAAAAAGAGTTTTTTATATACAGTATTACTGCATGTTTTATTGAAATTTTCTCAGTGTCCCTTGGAAGGAACGTTCGACTTTTAAGAGTTAATTTGGATGTTTTGAGAAACTTGTTTTTGAATATGTATATGACGTTGTTTTTTCTCATGTGATTCGGCAAGCTCGATCCACCATGATGTAACAAGAAAAAATCAATACTCTTCAAACTTTAGAGTGTGATCAAATGACATAGAATGTAAATCTCTTAAAATTCGATTATCTTAATCGATAGATGCTGTTGGCACTCAATAATCTAAAATATTTAGTTTGGTCATGCAAGTAATCATTCTATCGGAATATGAGTAATCTACTTAACACATAGTGCATATCTTTCGACTGTGAATGATATTCAAAAAGAGATACGCTCATTGATAAAGGATGATTAGAGATTAAACTGTTACTCATTCAACAATTTTCTTTTTTATTGCCCTTACTCGAAACAAATTAGTAAGAGTAAGTAAATAGCTGAGTGTTTATTTAAGAGCTAAGAATCATTATTCAATACTGATGGAAATTTCTAAATACTGGGTGAGGCTAATTGATAGTAGCATGGGATATTTTGCAAATATCTTTGCTATTACAAATCAGAAGAATTTCAAACATTTTTTGAAAGCTACATCGTAAAACTTTGTACAATAATTAAACTCATCAATCATGTCGACTTACGATAATGGAGTTAGAGAAATATAAAATGAAAGCTGTATAAGGCACTCTAACTATGAATATCTATTACTTAGTGTTTGAGATTCAATAGTCAGTCTCAAAAATATCAGACAAAAATAAATAGCTATCAATAAAAACTACATAGGTATGAATATTTATTAAATGGTGCTTGAAATTAAATAGTGGTGCACTATAAATATTAGCAAATAATAAATAGTTATGAATATCTATTAAGTTGTGTGAGAAATATTTAAGTGGTGTTTATGATTAAGTTGCTCAAAAGTTAATAAATATAAAATAATTAAATGGCGATGTATCGATATTAAGGAGCTATGAATATGTATTAAGTCGTGCTTGCAATTAAGTAGCTCAACAGTTAGAAGTGTGAAATAGATCAAAATATATTTATTATAATAATTGCTCTCAATATTATACATAAGCAATCCAAAAGATAAAACATGCTGAAATGTTTGAAAAAAATAGGTGATCAAATCTCTTCTCCGAACGATACTTCGATACAATATGCAAAGATTTCATCCAAATGCATGTTGAATTGTGCAGAAAAACCAGAGCGTGTAGTTGATGACGCTGAATATTCGGTAGAAGTATTCCACTAACTTATAAAGAACACTTTAAAAGCGATATTTTAATATGTTTCTTGAACCAATGGTAATTTTCATTTTCTCAATATCACCGAAAACCTGAGTCACATGTGAATTCATTATTGAATTTGACACATGCATATGTATATCCGACAATGGCAATGTGTTTAAGCGAAAAATTTGTTTCTGGCTGCTGGTTCAATGTATTTTAGGGTTTCAATTGATTTCATCAAAGCCATAGTAATACATAGAACAGAAATAGCTACACAGAGGAATTTTACACAAGAGGAAAAACTACATCGATTATTCCATTTATTCGTGCCCATCTGTTTTAAAGATATTACTCTCTAAAATAAAGGGAAGGAGTTCAACATTAACAGTTACATGAAACTTTAGCGATGAATGTATAGGTGCTTTTCTAGATGAATATGAGTTTATATTTCACGTTTACTAAGCTTAACCCATAATTCATATTTTGGTCGTACGATGATTTTAACATCAGGTTCAATCTTTTGTTCTGATACTAAGTCGAAATCACGTCTTTGTATAAACATACATAGCTAACATAGTTTTAGCTTCTAATAATGCAAAAATTTGTCCAATACAATTACGCGGTCCAGCAGCAAAAGGAGGATAAGAAAATGGATGAGGCAATTTTGGTTTAAGACCTGTTTTAGGATCTCGCATCCAACGAGTATAGTCAAATTCAAGTGGTCGAGACCACAGATCAACTCGATGCTGAAGAATATAACTACTAACAAACAACAGTTGTATCCTTTCGTATACGTATTTGACATTCAGTATCAATCATATGTTCACGCATCCAGAAACGTGAGAAGAATGGTGTCGGTGAATAAAGACGAAGTTGATCATTAATGATTGCTTCACATACTAGTAAATCAAGTAAATGTTCATTTGTAGGTTCTATTCCATTTGGTAAAACTCGATCAACTTCTTCACGACATGCTTATAAAACATTTTCATTAGTCATTAAAACATATAACATCCAAATCATAAGTTTTCCAGTGATTTTACTACCTGCAAATACGAAAGAAAGAGATTCTTCTTTAATTACTTAATCATTGAATGGTTTTTCTTCGTCATCAAGAATCGATAGCAATGAATCAAGGAGATTACCACCGTTACACAAACTTGATGATCGTCTTTGTGACCGACCAATAGTAATTTGGTCAAAGGATTCACCTACCATACGAATTACTTTATCAACTACATCCTTTTTCTAAAAACGGTCATCGTGATAGAAAAGCTATTTGATCGACCATAATCATTCAAATGTAAACAATATCAACAAGTATTGCAATGAATATTCGATAATGACATCTTTTGCATTAGTAGCTGGTTGAATACCTGATACAAGCAAGTTTGATACAATTATAGATAATGGAAATACCTCAGATTCTAATTCTAAATCGACTGGTTTTTTATTTTTGTTTCTGTTTATCTAATTTATATTTCGATAGTAGCGTTTCTATAGTTTTAACAGCTTGATTGAATAGGATAGAAATCATCCATTTTAGACTCACATGTTGAAATACTGGCTTAATCATTAGACGAGTTCGTTCATGTTCACTACCTTCCACTACTAATAAATTATAACAGCCAATGATTGTTATAAATAGAGAATAAAGATTTAAATTTATTATGTTAAAGAAAAACGGATCACAACATTACTCAAATAATTTGACTTTCAAGATAACGTTTATTTTTTGCCAGAGTAGATAGTGAGATAGTTACAGTAATACTGTAACTGTATTCTTTGAAACGTTTGCTTGATTTTAGTTGAAAAACAAAAAAAAAGGAATTCATAGCACTCTAAATTGACATCGCAATATCATTTTATTCTATGATGATTCATGCTTCTCTGACAAATGAGATCCAGTGCAACTGCGTTGAGACATGAGACATATAATAAAACGTTGCAACCTGCTCGACAAAGTTAATAATCATATTACATCGTGAATAAAAAATAGATCGATTTGATACATTAAAATACAATACATTGGTTTGCTTTTATTGCTATCTAGTCTTGAAGAAAGAGAATGTTATTCGAAAAATCTACTGTAACTCAGTAAAATTTCCCAATTATTTATTTTATATCAGTCCATCACTGCTAATATCTTGTTTTTTTGTTATTGTAGGTCATTTAAGTTTCATCTATTTTTATTTGTTCTAGTTTCCGTAAATTAATAATGATTTTTCTTTTGAGAAAAATCATACAGAAATTAATCATTTATACAATTTACAAAAGGATTTTTTTTCATGCAACAATAAGTTCTTTTTCATTACTTCTCAAAATTAAAAAACAAGTTTAAAAAAACTTATTTTTTCACAAAATCTTACCTATATAAGATTTTTTGTTTCTCAATTTTTATTCAACTACACTTCCATAAAATTAGAATCGTTCATTCTTTTTTCGATAGTGCCAAGGTTTAAAGGAAAGTTTTACAACACTTTTTTCTTTAGAAGTCTTCAAGAGTAATCAAATTATCTCTTTCTAATTATCCTGAACAAAATTCATCGGTTGAACAGCTCTTGAATAATAAAATCCAGTATAAGTAGAAATCACTAGAAAAAAATAGTCTAAGTAAGAAGAAAAGCTTTATTGCAGTGTTAATGTGACCATTTTACTGCTATGAAATTCATTCTCTATTACCATTACAATTTTAAAAATTAACCGAGAAGGAAAATGAGTGAAAATTCAATTACCTGTTGTGATATTATCAACGTGGTGCCTCGTCAAATATATATGAATAGTGTTCAATACTTGTTTAAGATAGAAAACTAACATTCTACTATTGAAACATATATATATATATACATATGCCAGTCGCTTCTATTTTGGTCACGGAGAGAGAGTAAACTACATGATTTTCGTATGACAATAAACATTCTCTTAAGATTTGATAGTTTCTTGACAAGAACAACTAGAAAAAAAATTATTGACTACGCATAGAAAACCGAAGACAAAACTTCCCAGAGTTGCCAAGTAATGCTTTCGCATTCGATTTCATATCGACACTTAGGGATATTGATTATTGACTGATACGAGTTATGCATAATATTTTGGCATGTAAATGGGCGATGCAGTAATGATTTCTCTAATATAATTTTCTAAGCAATAGGCAGTACCAACGATACATTCAACTAGTGTCACATTAACTGGCACACTCCAAAATGTGATATATTGTAGATGTAAACCGAGTGCTTTATTGTTCACTTGTAATGCTAGTAAAACCTTCGACCATAAAAGTTACTACATAAGTACTCGTACTAACACGCGAACTGATATGGGGTGATCGTCAAGCAGCATACCCTGTTATGGTATATTCATTGGTAAATAAAAATAATTGATTTATTATTAAGTTTTACTGATAAGTGTGTGTATATATTTAATGAAGTATTAACTAACTTCGTTAATAGATGCGCATTTAGAACATTGGTACATATGTCATTACATTTATTCTCAGTGGTATTAGCATTGCTTGCTCCATGATAACGAATGTTATCTGTTTGATTCCAATCAGCTGCTGGAATTTGAATCACTACTATTTGATATCAAATGTTACGAATGATAGGCAAAGATCACGTTACTGCTTTGTGTCAAACAAACTATTTTTTCACATTTTTTTTCTAAATAATGGATGAATTGATAGGATCATTTTCGTGAGCTCAACTCCAAGTAACGGTTCTCCAATATTCTGAATAGGCACCACTTGTTGATGAAATCTCGTTAGCTCAAGAAGACAATTTAAACCCAAATAAGATATCAATAGTACAACCTAAAGTTATTTTCGTAATCAAAGCGTCAACAATGATTCGTACGAAAAGTATAAAATCAGTACAACAGGTTTGCTGAGAAATGGTTATAGACCTAGATCTTTTTGAAAAAGTACGACGATATAAAAATAGATCAAGTCTTTATTTTGGTTTTTTCTATTACTTAAGTATGAGAAGTAATTTCTTTTGACAATAAAAGACATTCAAGTAAAAACTGTTTATTTATATTTTGCTGTTGTTATAGTTTTAACGGGTAAAAAATTACAATAGATAGTCGATTTTATCGTATTTTATAATCGACCGATCATCAATTTTCCTTCTTCTGCTAACATAAAGTCTTTTCTTTTTACAATGATAGAGTTTATTTTTTATTTTTTTAATGCTGGATTTTAAAAAATATAAAGTTTGAGATTTAATTTTAGTATTGAGACGAACAGACAAACAACATTAAAAAAAAAGGAACTACTGTCACAGATCATTATGCTTGTTTTTACCATCTCACATATTTCATAAACTTGGAAAACCTAATTAAATCGAGAAATATATAACACAAAAGACAATATATATATGTATGTTTGTATAATGTTTATAATAATTTTTTTGTATTTATTATTCATTTGTGAATGATTGAATCATTCGATTAATTTCATTATTTATTTCATTTGAACGTTGTTTTTGAAACATATCGTCCATTGTATTTCCATAGACTTTTACCATTTGATTGAAATAATAAAAAAAAGCCAAAACCTAAAAATAGAATTTTTATTTTTATGAAAAAAATCAATTAAGGAAATGACTACCATAAAAAGTGAGCATATAACAAGAATAACGGAAATTAAATTCCAAAGTAACGCACGACGAGCATAAAGTCGAGCTTTATCATGAAATTTTACGTCAGCTTTAGCTGAACTTTTTAATGAATAAGCCAATGCAATAAGACCTTGAGAACAAGACAAAAATAACTAATTATGCAATTTAATAAATTACATTTATTACCTGTTGCTGGACATAAACAAATAGCCGAAAAAAGTGAAAATACAAAATAATGACGAATACGAACAGCTGGTTGTTGAACATCAACTGGTCCATCAACTAAAACAGCTGACGATGATGGAGCTATTAACATAAAAATATCAAAATTTGTCTTTGATTTTCTCTGTAATTTATATTTACTTTCAATTGTTGACATTTTTTCATAAGGAACACCCATTTCAGTTGTTTTTTTTTCAATGAAATAAATATCTATAGAAAAAAAGTATATATATACACTAAAGAAATTACTAACAAGGCTATTCTCAAGTCGCGGAAAAAAAACAACTCCGCAATAGATCGTTGTTGTTTTCGATTGAATGAAAGCAAGAGAAGAAAAACATCGTAATCATTCGTACTGACATCTATTTTGGTGAGTTTTTTTTTGATTAAATTTTCATTGGCGTATTAAAAAGTGTTATATCGATAAACAATAAGTCGCATACTGTGTATGATATGATCTTAAAGGTTTGAAAACAATGCCAACAACAGCTTCTAATCAATTATCAACGTCATCACAGAAAGATAATATTATTGATTTGTGTACATCAGTTGGAGAAGCTTTTTCAAAATTTAGTGTTTTATTACGTGACCTTGATTTAAGTAATCAACGATCATTATCAAATAATGAACACGATCAACAGTTAATTGGTTGGGATGAACAAAGTGCAACAATGTTTCGTCAAGCTCTACAAACATTTGCAATGAGTGTACGAGATATTTCAACTGCTGTAGCAGAAAAGCGAATTCGTGAACGATAAATTTTCATTATGTTAACTTTTGTTATCCTTTTTTTTTTGTATGATTAGTTTGTGGTTTTGTTAATAGTGTATAGAAAATGAAAAGAAATCCAACTGAAAATGTGTTTATAAAGCAAAAATTTGTTCTTGTCACAAAATAGATATATTTTGTAGTAAACAAGATTTATTTAAGAAACAAAAAGATATTAAATTCGACAAGAAATAATATCTTTATTAAATTTTAGATAATCTTTATTTATTTATTTCGATATTAATCAATGGTGAACACTTTTCTAAGCATTAACTGGTTAATTTCCTTTCATCAAATGGATAAAACCTAAGAGAAAAACAAACTGTCATTAAATTATCGAATGAATTAATCAAACCTAAATTGATATTATATTCTAAAGCAATAAAAGAAGATCCGAAACTTGATGATATTCGATTGTTGAATTGTATCAAATTCAAATCGTTTTCATCAATCATCATATTTTTTTGATTGAGATTGTTTTCATTCTTATAAAATCATATGTTCAAATATGATAACTTATTTAACAATAACAAATGATTAACCAATAGACTTATTTATTTTATGAAAGAAAATCTATTCCTTCATGAAGAATACCTAACTGATCTTTTAAAAGAAAAAGGATATTGATTTTTCTATTCCTTTTTCTAGATTAATTAGTATGCATTCATCAAAGAATAATGCATTAAAATTAGTCAATGTAATTCAACCAGAAATCCGAAAAACTATTCTTCGAACTTTATTCAATTCATTTACAGCGAAAACAATTCAAAAACCTAAAGACGCTCATTCAAATTTACTTACTGATACAGAAAATGTATTTGAACTTCAACATCATACTGTTAAACCAAGCTCAATGGTAAAATGAATTTTCTAATCTTTTCCATATAATAACTATTATTATTCGTACGGATGTAGTATCCTCATGACACTTTCCGGAGTTTGATCATGCAATACGTTGTCCTGAGAGAATATATATATACAATTTTCTTCTTCCATTTATCATGAAAGAATAGAGTCATTAGCCCAACTGAAATTTGTTGTCGCACTTTTTTTTGTTTTCTTTTTCTAGTTAGAATAAATTGTTTTAGGACATCAAACTTCCAACAATAATATTCTTGATTTCCGAACATATTTGTAAGGTTTACTTCCTTAACGGAAATAAGATATAAATCTACATAGAAAAAACAAGGTTCTTATCAAGACTGTTTCTGACACTATCAGTTTATGGTACACAACAGTTGTAGGAAATACATCAAAACAATATAAAGCAAAATGTTCTTACATTCCTTTCTCCCCATAAACAGTTACCATACTAAAGAGAAACAAATGTAATAAACAATCTGTAGTGTAGACAACAACACTCATAACCTTATTCTGTGTTACAGAAAAGAACAAAGTTCTTAGTATCGAGATAAGCCAACTGGAATAAGCAACTGTAGAAAAAAAAAATCTATCGTTTTAACACTAGGAACAAGAAGAAGTTCCTACACGATAGCTACGAACACGACAAGTACTATTCTAGACGCTTAAGTTATTTCTTAGCATCAGTCATAATTAGTTTTTTATAACGATTATACTATCGATTCTAATCAATTGATGATGAAATTAGATATTCATACGGCAGGAAAGAAATATGATATGTATTTGTTTTAAAAAAAAACATACTCAGATATTTAATTAAAAGTACTCGGAACTCAATAGAAAAAAAAACAAGTTCATGATAAATTATTGCATAGAAAGAAAAAAAACAACCAACGCATTGCTTTCATTTCTTTTAAAACATGCCTTCGTGTCTTAATATTCTCCAATTAAAAATAGGGTTTCTTCTTTTTTTCTGTATTTGAAATATTATTCTTTCTTTGGCAGTTTCTTCCGTATACTTCATTTTCATTGTAAGATCTTGAAAGATTTCAATTAGAATTGAAGTAACAACAATGTTTAGTCTTTAAAATATAAAGTATAAACTAATATGTAATTTTAGAATAACTATGAATCGATTTATTCTGACTATGCATCACAAATGCTTGATAAATATTCTTCAACTGGTCTTGTTCATACTGGTTCATGGAGAGTACAAGTTGGTAATGTTACAAACCAATTTGTTCATATATGGATGTATAAAAATTTTTCTCATTTGGATGAATTTATAAATAATTCAAATATAAATTCTATTGATGATAAATTAAATCAATTGATTACACAACGTTCAAATCAAATATGTCTTTCATTTTCTTATTTTGGTTTGACATTTGTTTTTCTTTTTTGTTCTTAATACAAAACAAAATCTATGTTATTTTCATATAGGAATTCCTCAACCACGTCCAAAATCTGATAATCAATCAAATCCAAATATATATGAAATGCGTTCATATTGGCTTAAACCTGGTACATTAATTGAATGGGGAAATCTATGGCATAAAGGTGTTCAGTATCGACCAGATGCAAAAGTTCTTGGTGTTTTTTCACAAATTGGAGAACTTTATAATGTTCATCACATGTGGTCATATAACAATTTTCAACATAGAAAACAAATGCGTACTACTGCATGGGCAAAACCTGGCTGGTCAGAAAAGTATGAATGTTAATTTTGAATTTTTTTTTCTTAAATAACATTATTTTCTTGGATTTTAGTGTTGAATTTACAGTCCCATTAATTCGTAAAATGGAATCAAAAATTCTCGTACCATTAAAAATCTCACCAATGCAATAAGGAGAATATTATCTGAAAGAATTTTTTCAATTTATATTATTTCATTGGTGTAATTTTTCAAAAAAAAAACGGTGATCATTTCTATTATCAAATTATTTCATATGTTCTTCTTTTGCATGGTTTTGGGTCAACGCTCGTTTTTTTGTATTGCTTACTGTGTTCTTTTTTATTTGGATTAAAACAACGATAGGACAATATACATTGAAATTTTTTTTTAATGTATATATGTCTCATTTAGTGAGTTTTTTTGTTTATTGAAGATTTTATATATTTTAAAGTGAATAATGGCACAAGCAGAAAAAGAACTTGTTTTCCATCCGACATTCGAAAAATCTATTGATGATATATTTAACAATGACACAGAAACTACCGAAGAGGTAAAAAAAATTTTTTTTCGAACCGAAGAACAAAAAAAAAACAATTATTCTTGATTATGTTTAAATTTTCTCAATTTTACTTTATTTCATTGACAAAAATTTGCTTTCAATTATTATAAAACCATAAAACTACATCAAATTGGTCTAAGTTTTATTTTAATTTAATTTCTTCCGCTTAAAAAAACAAACTTTTCTTGCAGTATGAAGGCGACATGAAATATGGAGATGTAAGTTATATGTAGTGTAGTGAAAAACAATGTTGTATAGCTTGTATAGAATGTACACATTTATCCGTCATCCTGTCCTTCTAAACTATTCACATAAATTGTTTACATTGTGTGATAACACCGAATTTTTGTTATTCCATGAAAAAAAAAATACTATTATTTTATCACTTAGTAACTCATTTGCACTTTTCTTTCGTATTGAGTTTTTACAAACAAATTATTGATATTATAACTCATTACATGAATAATTCATCATTATATTCAGTCATGAAAAAAAATTGATTATGGGGACTGATGCAAGTAGTATGAAAGATAATGCGATGGATTCTCAAAAAACATCAAATATTCATAATCCAAAACAAGAAGAAACTTTTAATCATATAAGTCGATTCATTGAGCAGAATCAGATTAACGACTCAACCGAAATGATACAAGATGTTACGGTAGAGAAATACTGCTATTAAGCATTAATATCCTTACATATACACGGTGGTCGAATTTTTTCGATTTCTTCTTTGCACATGATCAGTTAGATCTTATATTTGTACCATATATACTAAGTGATACTAATAAAAGATGTAGGACATGATCAGTCTTTGGATCTAATAATTTGTTCAAAAGCTTACAGATAAATCTTACCGCTTGTCTGTGACTATAAGACAAAATCAATGTTTTTTTTTTCTTATTTCCATAATATTGTCTGGTTGTCTTGATCTGTGAAGTGAATCCATTTTAATTACATTTTGTATTGATTTAGCCTAAAAAAGATCAAAATTAATTTAGTAAGACTCATTACACAGATCGGAATAAGAAGAAAAGATTATGGAAATCGAAGAACATCGAATTTCTCATGCATTCTCAAACAAACAATAAAATATATGTGCATACTTTTAAACACATTATTGCACCCAAAGACTGATTATATACGATATTTTTGACTATTATCACCGAGTATATATAATATAAGTAGGAGGTCTAGCGCGCCATGTGCGAAGAAGAAATGGAAAAAGTTCTGTTTTTCCTTAGTTTTGGACCACCCCCTGTATATGCATATTTTTTTTTCTTCTGTTCCTCTCATGTTTTTCTTTTTTGCTTTTGTTTATTCCTTGTCTGTTATTGTTGACGTCGGCGTATTAGACGAACGATTCTATTAATCTTATCTAAGAAATTTGTATTTTTCTACTACAGCACGATACTGTTGGTGAACTTCGTACAGAACTCGGTACAATGACTGCTGATCTTTCTTCACCAATGGCTCGATCTCCATTTTATAAATTTCGCGGTTCAATTGCTTGGACTGAAGGTTTTGAAAAAAACCTTCATGTTCTTGCAAAAGATCAATATCCAAATCGAGCTATGGGTATATTTACAAGTGGTGGTGATGCTCAAGGTAGTTTTATATGATTGATTTTATAATTTTGAACCTTTCCGTCACGTTGCTTTGGTGTTGTATGCATAAAATGTTTTGTATATTTGCTTTGCATGTTGTACCCTTTTTTTACCTAGCTTGCCAGTAATCCTGTGTCAACTACTGCATCTATAAATGAATATGAAATCCATCATATTGCAACATATCATAGACGATCGACCGATTCACAACAACATGACTATTTGACGGAAATTGGCAAAGAAGGTCATTTTATTGCAAAAAACCAATTTAACGGCTGTAGTCTTGCCGTATTTACTAGTGGTGGAGATGCGCAGGGTACAATTAACAACTTTTGTTTAGTTTTTACACTAGTTTAACGCTTATTGTTATATATAACACTTTCTTTACGTTGATATGAATGAATATAAAACCTTTTTCTAGGAATGAATCCGGCTGTTCGTGCAATAGTTCGTATGGGTATCTATCTTGGTTGCAAAGTTTATTTTATACATGAGGTTTATAAAGAATAATTAATTTAACATAATGAAATTCATATTATTTTCTTACTAGGGTTATCAAGGTTTAGTCGATGGTGGTAATAGTATTCGTCAAGCAACATGGGCAGCTGTCTCTGGAATTAGTGATGATGTAAATAATATTTAAATTTTAATACTTTAGAATATATATATTCAGGATGTTCCGAAAATCATAGAATATTCTCAGGAAGTTTTATTTCATAGCTGACTTTTGAAATATCCTGTACATATCATGTTCTTTTGATCGATAGGGTGGAACAATTATTGGTAGTGCACGTTGTAAAGAATTTCGTGAAAGACCTGGTCGATTACGTGCTGCAAAAAATCTTATTGATCATGGTATTAACAATATTGTATGTATTGGTGGTGATGGATCATTAACTGGAGCAAATTTATTTCGTAAAGAATGGGAAAGTCTTTTAAAAGAACTTGTTGATACCAGTAAATATGACATATTTTAAAAAAGATAAATATTTCTTTTTTATTTGTAAAGATCAAATAACGACAGAAAATGCTGAAAAATATAAATATTTAAATATTGTTGGTCTTGTTGGATCAATTGATAATGATTTTTGTGGTACTGACATGACAATTGGAGCTGATTCAGCTTTACATCGTGTTATGGAAGCAATTGATTGCATTACAACAACAGCATCAAGGTAAATTTCGTTGAATTATTCAATTAATTTTTAAAATTAATAATATTTTTATTCTAATAGTCATCAACGTTGTTTTGTTCTTGAAGTAATGGGTCGTCATTGCGGTTATTTAGCATTAGTAACTGCTCTTGGATCTGATGCTGATTGGGTATTCATTCCTGAAGCACCACCTGAACCAGGATGGGAAGATCAATTATGTAATAAACTCAAAAATGTAAGATGTTATACATAATATTTTGTTTAGTTATATTAATAAATTTTTCTTAGACACGAGAAATGGGTCAACGTTTAAATATAATTGTTATTGCCGAAGGTGCCACTGATTCTGAAGGTCGCCCAATAAAAAGTAATGAAGTTCAAGAGGTGAAATCGATTTCTTTTCTTTGCTTTTTTTAAAATAATTTTTCAATCTGTATTTAATACTTCAGCTTATTTCAAAACGGCTTAAATATGATACACGTGTAACTATTCTTGGTCATGTTCAACGTGGTGGCTGTCCGTCAGCCTTTGATCGACTTCTTGTATATTTAAAAAGAAAACTTGATATATTTTTTTCTATCTTTATCATTTTATTTAGGCTACTCGAATGGGTACAGAAGCTGTTCTTGCACTAATGGAAGCAACACCAACATCTCAACCTGTTGTTATTGCTCTTAGTGGTAATCAAACAGTTCGTGTACCATTAATGCATTGTGTAGAAAAAACTCTGGCTGTTGCAGAAGCAATGCAATCGAAAAGATTTAAAGAAGCTCAAGATTTACGTGGAAGAAGTTTTAAAAGTAATCTTGAAACATATATTCGTTTAAGTAAATTAAGACCAAAATTATTTTCAAATAAACAGGTAAGGACATAGAATAATATAATATAAAAAGTTCTTGATTCTTCGACAGTACAATTGAATATTTGCATATTTTAGTTATATTCTTTTTTTATGTATATAGTTTTTCTCTTGAGATATTTATTTAGTTGCAATTTAACAAAAAAAATTATAAGAAGATTATTATTAACATAAATCAATAATGTTTAAAATTTACATTTTATTCATTTTGTTGTTTTTTCTTTTGAATATAAAAGTTCTTCTTCTGTAGCATACATTCAATTTGGCTGTCATCAATGTTGGTTCACCTGCTGGTGGTGTAAATGCTGCTATTCGTTCAATTGTTCGTTATGGTTTATGTGAAGGATTAAATTTGCATGCAGTATTTGATGGATTTGAAGGTTTAGTTAATAATCAAGTATGAAAATCTCTTTTTCAAAGTTCTAAAAAGAAAATACTTCTATGAATTATAATAGGTTAAAAGTTTACATTGGGTGTCAGTTAATGGTTGGAGTAGTGTTGGTGGTTCATTACTTGGCTCTCAAAAGTAGATCGATAATAAATAAATAAGATAATAATTTTTTTTTTCATTTAAATTTAGAACTACAGCAGCTAAAGTTGGCTTAACAAAAATAGCTGAAAAATTTCGCGAACATAATTTTCATGCCTTGATAGTCATCGGTGGATATGAAGTAAATAAGAATAGTTAGAAAAATAAAAACTTGTATTTTAAATAAAAAAATATTTTAGGCCTATTTATCCGTTGTTCAAATGTATGAATCACGTAATAAAAATATTGAATTTCAAATTCCATTGATTTGTATCCCAGCTACTATATCAAATAATGTACCGGGTACTGAATTTAGTATTGGTGCTGATACAGCATTGAATGAGATCGTCAAAGTTTGTATTAAAAAAAAATAAACTAAATAAAAATAAATTTTCTTTTTTTTTGTGAATAAAAAGATTTGTGACAAAATCAAACAATCCGCACAAGGTTCCAAACGACGTGTATTTGTTATTGAAACTATGGGTGGCTATTGTGGTTATTTAGCTACAATGGCTGCACTTGCTAGTGGAGCTGATCAAGCATATATATATGAAGAACCATTTACGGTAAAAGATCTAATTGATGATGTTGATCATTTACGTAAAAAAATGGAAGGACATTTAAAACGTGGTCTTTTACTTCGAAATGAAATGGCTAATGAACATTATTCAACAGAATTTATTACAAAATTATTACAAGAAGAAGGCAAAGGAGTATTTAGTGCACGATCTAATGTTCTTGGTCATATGCAACAAGTAAAAATCAGAATTTATCTACACTTTTTTTGAGCTTCCGGAATTTGACCAATTTTACTATGAATTAGATATAGATTAAAAAAATTCCTATCGAATACATCGATGAGTGTAAGCCATGATATATATATATATACGTATTTTATTAATATTAGCTTCAGTCATCACATGCATACTACATTAATATTGTTTCATGACAGCTTGCGGAAGTCTTATTGACGAAATTCCAGCCATTGAATGTTTTGATATGTAAATTTTGTTTTTGTCTATGTCTAGGGTGGTTTGCCATCACCATTTGATCGGGCATTTGCAACAAAATTGGGATGCAAAGCAATATCACATGTTGTATCCCTTATTGAAAAATCATCAACAGGAGATGGAAAAGTAATATGTAACACACCAGAAAGTGCTGTTGTAGTAGGTTTAATTAAACGACAAAATGAATTTACACCGGTGGAAATTCTTAAAACAAAAACTGATATTGAGTAAATTATTTAAGTGTTATTTATTAAATTAAAATTTTATTTTGTTGTTTTTTTTTAAATTTTATTTAGACATCGTATGCCTCTTGAACAGTGGTGGCTTAAACTTCGACCATTACTTCGAATTTTAGCTAAACATGAAAGTGTTTATATTAGTGATTTTGTCGAATCGGGTGTCGATGAAGTGGATCAAACACAATAGATTTGATGTCCTTTTATTTCCCTTTATTTTTGTAGTGAACCTCGAATATTCTTTTATTTTTTCTTCTTTCTCGTTTACCTAGCTTACAGTAACCTGTTTTTCTTTTTCTTTTTTTTTTTCTCTAGTCCTCATAGTGAGTTACATCTGTTAATCGACAAAAATATTCTATTCATTTTTTTCTCTCATCAAGACAAAAATACAAATAACCTATAATTTCTCCATTGAATGAGAATAATTTATTGTTTAATTGTGTATTTGCGCGAACATATATGTTTATATATAAACGAGACTCGTATCAAACAAGCGAAGTCTTAGTGAATAAGTTGGATAAGAACAGTTGACAAGTTACTAAGTGGTAGAAATGAATTGTAATACAATATCCTGTGTTTTTCTTTCATGTTTATTATGAATATGACAGTAGAAATTTTCGACCTATACACGTACATATTTATTCTTTACAATCGATCTTTATTTTTTTTACTTGAAATATTAGAAAAAGAGAGTGGGATTAATAAGTGAAGAAAAAAAGAGACAGAACGAGAGAGAGAGAGAGAGAGAGAAAACGATGAAAGAAACCAAACAGCATGAATAAAATGAAAACAACAATTGGCTTGTTCACCTGAATGTACAAATATGATGAATTGTATTTCAATATACAGTTCTTGTCATCGCTATTCGATCTGGAAATAATACATATATTTATATTGGCATTGTTATTCTATTTTAAGCTACATTGATTCTATGTTCGATGATTGATAATGGCTGGCAGCAGCAGTTATAGGCTGTTATTGTGCTTGCCTGATGGCATTTATATGTGTATGTATAATGGTAGCAAAAAAAGAAAAAAAAAGAGAAGGAGGGTCATGTCTGTTTATTCGATTACAGTCTTATAAGCATATGCATGTCTTTACTCTTGTTCTCTTATGTTTATCAGAAGCATTAGTTCGCCCCTGTTAGATAGAAATGTGTGCACTAGTGAAGTTGACTCTTTTCGCTTGTGTTTATCTGCATTCACTTAATGCTTTTAAAAAAGCACTAGAAATGCATTTTAATTGCATTTTACCTCGTCATAGTTGTTATTCTTGAGGTAGTAAACGAGATGTCTTATCATATTCATAAAACCCCAATAACTGATGCATTCAATTATGTGCTTTTGATGGTATCAAACCGTCGTTATCAGATAATGTACAGCAACGATATCTTTTTCTCTTCTTATATTACATTAGTTTCGCGTAGGAGAATTTCACAGTCAATATATTATGTTTGACCTTCGATTTCTACATTGTACTTTTTTTTAAGCAAGCAACTAACATTCTATTTGTGCAAATAGTCATCCCACGTCTACATACATAAATATGTGTATATAAACTTCGACTTGCTTCTTCGTCTCACTTTGAATTTTTCTTTCTCTTTGTCTTGAACACAGCTGTTTCGAGCTTACATGAATGCGACGTCTGGACAAAGAGCATGAGAAGTAACGAGACCGAGGGAAAGAAAATAGTGAAAGAACGACGTCTTTCTCTTTGTCATTATCAAAGACATTCAATTACCATTCTCATATTTTTTTTCTCTCTCTCTCTATTTCGTTGTGGTTGTGGTATGTCGTCTAATCCCACACTGTGGTATTACTCATCTCTATTTCTTTTCTGTTTTTTCTTTTTTCTTTTTTTACTTATAGACGGTTGATAGGTGTTGTTGTTCTTTTTTTGGAGACCAACACGTCTTACTCATTTTTCTCTACCTTCTCCGTTTATTATTTGACTTCAACTGTCGACCATATTATATACCTGTCACCGACAACAACTATCTTTTTTTGCTTACTTTTTATATTCTGTCAAAGGACCAATTAATGGCGACTCAAACAACGACAACTGTTAACAATGATAGTGATGTAAGACTGAGAGAAAAAAAAGGAACAGCAGCAAAACAAAATGGTAATGGTTTACATGACGATATGAAGTTGTTATCAACAGCTGAAGAAACAAGTCGTGATGAAGCGACAACATCACCAAGGTCACAAGTATCAACATTTGAACAAGCATTTTTCTTAGGTTTAACTATTGATGATGCGCTTAATTCAACTGAAAATCTTTTAGAATTATTCTATAATTCATGCAAATATAATCAATTAGAACTTGTGAAACGATGTGTTGAAGAAAAACATGCGAATGTGAATGAACCATATAATAATGATTATTCACTATGCATTGCTAGGTAAGTCGCTTGATTGTTACGAAATTGTTTATCAAGAGTAGAAAAAAAATAATTTGCAGTATCTTAATTTAAAATTGATGATATTATGCAATCATTTGTTTTCTTCAACCTTTTTAGCCACAAAGGTCATCTCGAAGTAGTTCGTTATTTATTAGCACATGGTGCTGATGTTCATGTCAAGCGTGAATTGAATCTATTAGCTACACGTGGAAATCATCGTCTATCACGAGCTAATTTGACTTATGGTGATAGTCCACTTTCACTCGCAGTTAAATATGGTTTTGAAGATATTGCTATAGAACTTGTCGAAAATGGAAGTGATATATTGAATGAAAATAATGAATTTGAAAAGTCTCCATTACAAGATGCTATTCGACTTAGTCGTATTCGAATTTTAAATGTTTTTATTGATAAGCTTAAAAGAACAAGAGCATTTCGTAATGATGATGAGACATTATTAATACAAAAGAAAGGTGATATTCTTCGTCAATGTCTTATTAATGATCAAATAGAAGCATTACGTATTTTTGTTCCTAATGTATGGGAAGAACTTAATAGTGACTTTATGTTTACTGTATTAAATAATCTTATGTTAAAAAATAAAATTCAATCGGACAAAGCATTTGATGTATTGGAAACTATACTCGAGGCTATACCATCATCGAAATTAAAAATGTATGATATTGGTGATTTACTTAGACGATTTTTACATATTTTACAAGCACAATTCGTAACAATTTGTGATGATCGAATTCAACTTCTTTATTTACGTACATCATTATTATTTACTATACTGAAATATCATGAGACAATTGATTTTACTACTTATTTAGAATTATTAGATGCTTATTTTCGTGCTATTTATGATAGTGTTGAAAGTGCCGGTATATATATATCGATAAAAGAATTTTGTTTTTCTTTTCTAGCTAACATATTTCTATTTTAGGCGAAGGCGTCAATCAAATATACGAATATATTGTTCGTTTTTATGAAAATCTTATTTTAATGGGTCATCTTGATCTAACAAAAAATACTGTTATTCTTAAATTACTCGAATGTGAACATGTTCAACAAATGCAACCTATTGATATGTATTTATCATGGCGTGCACGTAATCCATTTTTATTGAAAGAAAAATGTCGTCTTATCATAAAAAATACGTTACCATCTTATAAACGGGGTACAATTGAAAAACTAAATATTGATGAAGATACATTTTTATATTTATACTATCAACGATAGTAGTTCATTATTATCATAAACACTCGCAATAGTGATATTCAGTGTTCGTTAGTTGTGATATGAAAAGAATAATGCGTGTTTTTTTTTCTCCTTATTTGCGTGTGTTTGATAATAATGTCTCTTAGGTTTTTTTTTTTATATCGAACAAAACAAAAGACAAAATCTAGATCATTGAATGGAATGATTGAAAAAATCTGGATATAACAGTGTGTGCTTCTGTCTTCTGTTGCATTTTTATAAGTTTAGTTTTTTTTGTTTTTTGTTCTTGAAAAAATTTTAAATGTCATACAATAAGTAGAATAAATTGAACAAAAGAAAAAATGCCATTAATCTGACCGAAAGAAAAAAACACCGAAAAAAAAATGGCGAACCAAAAAAATGTCAAAGGGATTTATAGCGAAAAAAATGTCACAAAAAGTTTATTTTGAGACTATCGACCAATGAGATAAAGATATTTTGTTGTATACAACAAAATGAGAGATGTATAGTACATCAGCAAAAGATAATAGTGTATGGCAAATATTTAAAAGCAAAATTAACAACAAGACAATACGTTCCTTTATGTGGATAAGTGTAGGTGTGAGTGTCCGTATGAGGTGTGCATGCGAATATCAGTTCTCTCTTCACACCTACTCCTACATTCACACTCATACTCCATATTTCATCCTTAACAGAGTTACTTAATGACATCTGGAACATTTTTGACATTTTCTTGGGGTATGTATTTCCTCGACATTTTTTTCTTTCGATATTTTTTCTTTCGGCCTAATTGCTACATACCAAAAGAAAAGATGATTAGAACTTCGATTGCTTTTAATTATTTAATTCATGAATATTTGTAGAAAAAAAAATTGTAACAAGCAATTTAGATATAATGTCTCGTTCGTCTTCTTGGCCTTTTCAATCTTCTAAAGATTTATCATCAAATGAAACATGTTGGCTTTTCTGTCTTCCATTGGAAATTCTTCAGATTATTACTGATTTTTTGAGTACATCGGATATAAATACATTAGGCCAAACTTGTCAAACGTTTTATATATTTCTTAATGAGAATAACTTTTGGACATATCGTATACATCGTTACTTTCCACAATCTGTTGCACAGCTTTATACAATTGATCTATTTCATAAACCGGAAATAATTCAAACACATAATGAAATACGTCCATCAGGTTTTACTCATGTTCGAACAAATGCTGAATTTGATCTACTCGCGATCAATTCAGCTACTCATTATAATGATGAAGCAATCGAAAAACGTCATGTAAAAATGTATGTATCAAAAGAAGATTTTTTAAATCAACTAGAATTTTATCAATTTGAAAAACCAAATAATTATTTGGAAATTCCATTAATGAAATTAATCTATTTTTATTTGATTGATCGTAAACGACATGCAGCTGTTAATATGGATGTTATTCATCGCAATGAATATTATCTTGTCGAAGAAAATGATGCAGACAGTTTAACTGGTCGTATTATTCATTTACAAAGTGTTTGTTGGCTTGAAATAACTGGTCGTTTTGAACATAAAATTATGCCAGGAAAATATGAAGTTAGTTGGCGAATGAAATGTCATCAATATAGTACAATATGGGGAGAAACTGAATTTATTGTTGTACCACAACATGGAAAATTATTAAATTATAAAATGTCTGAAGATGATTTTCATAATTTAGTACTTCAACACGAAGATCGTTGGTCTATCGTCAAAATGGGTCAAACTATCATCTATGAACCGTCAATTGTTTTAGTGGCAATACGAAATTGGAGTAATCCTAATTGGAAATATGGTCTTTCATGGGATTTTATTGAATTAACAATAGTACCGTAATACTTTTTTTCGATATTTATATAATTGCTTATTGCTCTGTTTTTCTCATCAATAAATGCTCGCTTTGAGGAAAGAGAATATATATCTAACCTTTATGTGTGATTATCAGGATTAAAAAAAGCTACGATAGATAAATTTTGCAATAGATGACAGGATTAGATGAATCATAAATATGTGCGGAGACCAATTCAAATTCGAATTAGTCATTTTATTGAAATCAATGTCGTTTGAATTGGACTAAATCCGCTTGATAACTATTTGCTATGATAAATACTCTCCTGACAATATTTCATGGTAATCGACAGGCTAGATTCTTGACGCTATTCTGCACAGATCTAACATAAATAAAGATCCAGCATATAAAGATAAATGAATTTAAATAGATATCAAGTTAAATTTTGAATTTAGAAGTCCAGAGAGATCGACGTGTAAGTTTCTCGAAGTTTAGATAGATGACGCCAATCAACGTTGATGAAATATTTCATTAATCGATTGTTTAAAAGTGACATCACATTTTTTAAAGTTCAAAAATTTCAAATTATCAAAATTTAATATTTTTTAAAAGCATATTATATCAATAAAAGTCATGTTTCTATGGAAACATTACAACTGACGACAAATCGTCTCAGATAACTAATTGTTTTACCTAAGACAAGAAAAAACAAAGGAAACTATTATCTTTAACATTTCCACACATCTGGCTCTTTTCTCAATGAAAATATAAAACTATGAAAAAAACAAATTTTCATACAAATTTGTCATTTTTATTTGAATAACTAAATAATGACTGATCTTACTGAACGAAAATCGCCAACAAGTGAGTCAACTTCTAGTGCTGAGCCGGCAGCATCAATAGAATCTACAGCTAATGAAACAATATCTGCTCTTATCAATAGCACTCCATTAGCTGATTCAAATACGATACACAATTCTAGAGATAATAGTCCGCCAACATTACGTCGTCGAAGTAGTGTATCAATTATTCAAGCACTTGCCAATACAAGACATTTACTTACAACAAATGATGCTCGAAAACGGTAGACATCATATTTTAATCTATAAGTCCCAGAATTCTTTTTTGTTTTTCAAATAGAAATTTTCTTGTTGGAGCTGCGAGACAACTACCAGAAAGTACAGCAAATGATATTAATTCATTTTTTCCTAGCGGACGATTATTAACAATAATGATGGTAACATGGAATACGGGTGAAGCATCAAAATTATATGAACAAAATTATACTCCAACTGCTCGACAAACAGCACAACCAAAGGAACGTATGCTTGACGATATGTGTGATATATTACTGCCAATATTTATAGATTATGTTTCGGATCTTATTATTGTTTGTACTCAAGAAATGTCTGTTGCAAAAAAGAGGTATGCAGCTAGTTTAAAAAAAATTTGAATCAGGGTTCACGCTTCGAAAAATGCCCGAATTTCCAGAAATTTTTTACAGTTTCATGATAGCTTTTGACTAGAACCAGATTTCGAAATACTATTTGCCTTTCTCCAGCAGAGCTTGAAATACAAATAAACAGATAATGCTGTTGTGAAGTGAATAGGATTGAAGCAAATCCTGAGAAATGGACTAACAGGGCATCCATTCTGAGCGAGATCGGATCATGGTGAGTTTCGTTCTTCTGTTCCCTCTCAGTCACCACTTTTGGCACTCCAAGAATGACGAACAATCAATAAATGCTGTGATACGTTTTTTTTTTAATGTTTTTATTTTTAAAATAATTGTTTTCTTTTCGATGTAGAATTGATTGGGAAATTTTACTTCAAGAAGTAATTGGACCAGCTCATGTTCTATATCATTCAGTCCATTTTGGTACATTATCATTATGTATATTTTTACGGCGAGACTTAATATGGTTTTGTACCGGTATATATATATAAAATAAAAAAGATTATCAAGTGAATTTTTTTGTTTTTATGTAGAACCAGAAGAAGATATAATTAAATTTCGAGCTGTAGGTCCTGTTCGTACCAAAGGTTCATTAGTAATAACATTTAATCTCTTTGGAACATCATTTATGATTATTAATTCACATTTTGAAGGTTTGTTCTTGACTAGACATACAAAAATTTATAGAATTTTCTTTTTTTTTTATTCATTTTAGCTGGTCATGGTTCTGAAGGTCGTTCGAATCGACGATTAAATTTTCATAATACAACAACAAAATTATCAATACCACATGAATTTATTCAAAGAACATTTAAAACTAATAAACGTGTCATATCTGTAGTTGAGTCTTCTATTCCACAAACTATGGAATCAACAGCATCACTTGATTCTGCTGCGCGTGCAGTTGTAGGTAAATATGATCGGTTATTGATCTTTATTTTTAAACTGTACTAAAAAAGAAATATTTTTAATATAGATATAACAAAATCATGTGATTGTGTTCTATGGGGAGGTGATATGAATTTTCGAATTGATATGCAGCATGGTGAAGTATTAGAACTTTGTAAGGAACGAAATTTCCATCAAATTTTACTTAAAGATGAATTTCGTATTGCACAAACAAAAACAGGTAAATAAAAATTTTGTGTTTCTCATTTTTAAATCCATTGAAAATCCTTTTTTTTTATCTAGATGGTCTATATGCGAGTTTTAAAGAAGCTGACATTGATTTTGCTCCAACATATAAATTTGATTTACGATTTGATAATGATACATATGCTAAACATAGAACACCTTCATATACAGTAAGAATACAGACTAATAATAAAAGCAAATTCTGAATTAAAAATAAGCGATGAAAAATTAGAAATAATCATAAACAGATATGAGAAGAAACCGATAATAAAGTACTATTTATAATTTGTTTCGTTCAATAATAGCCATGACTAAATGAAAAACAAAATGTTACTTTCGTCTGCAAAGTATATCGCTTGAGCCGCCTTTTCTTTTTACTAACAATGTGTGAAGTTGTGTCTGACTGTTCAGGAACAAATACATTTGTTTTGGATTTTTATAATCAACTTTTATAAGTTAAACAAAACTTTCGAAAAGAAAAATCCGCTTTTCTCATTTCCTATCAAGCGTAAATATGGAGTGAGACAATTCAATATTTTTCATTTAATCGAAAGATAAAGTCTCCTTTTTTCTTTTTGTATTATCAGCAATAATGATAGTTTAATCCTAAAGAGTCTTTCGGATCAGAGTTGTTGATATTTTTTAGGGATGTGAGGAGCTAAAAAATGCTTTCATCCTCAAAGTACTAGAAGTGGTAATCGAGGCGGGAAGAACGAAGACTAGTATGACCCGATCCCTTTCACAGCAAGCAATCGGTAACCAAACCGTTCCTTTTCCAATCCTATTCACCTCGTAACGTCATTGTCTGCTTATCTTCATTTCACTTTCTATCAGAGAAAATGCAAATGGCGTTTTAAAACCTGGCTTCTGTCCAAATTTACCACGAAGCTGTAAAAAATTGACAGAAAATATTAAGAATTTTTGCAGAAACTCGGATACTTTAGGGAGAAATCCCATCAGTGGCTACATTGTTCGACACGTATTCAGGGATCGCAAAAGTGGCGGGAAGGGGGGTGTACACCCTCCCAATAATCAACAATTTTCAGTTTTTTTCAGCAGAAAACTCAGATTTTGTCTAGATTTGGAAAACCCGTTTACATCTCCCTCCGCAACCTGAGATACATTCCGTTAATATTTGATCCTTCGGGCGACCACTGCACGTATCCACAAGGTGCTGTGTGCAGACTTCAGTAGCACCAGCGATAGAATGACCGTGGGCAAATCACTAACAGCTATTTGTCGTAGATCACTCGTCCGATAGCATGTTGATTATGTTGGGACATACACCTGCTGCTCTTGTGGCTAGTATGTGATTAATTAGTGCATATGGGAAGCGCAAGAATTCTGTGTCAGGTCGGCCTTCTGTTCAGCACTACAACTAATCATAGTTGTAGGGAGGATATCGGACTTTTAACTCTGTCACTAGGTGACACCACATATAGCACGGTTGCTTCAAGACGGGTATTTTTCCTTTTATGCTGTTTCCGTTTTTTGCTATTGTTGATCTTCTTTTCTAATTTTTTTTAACTGCAATTATTCTTGTTAATTAAATTATGATGGAACTTGTGCCATAATGAAACTGATGATATGTCAACAGACAGATGCTTATCAGAAGTAAATATGAAAGATTATAGGCTACTATTTTATGTATATATCTTTCAAGTCATTCTGATAAGAAACTTAAAGGTTTATTGTTTACTTCCTTTGCTAAAGATAGAATTGGGAGGTTTTTTCTATCAAACAGAGTTTAATATGAAAGCCTTAACTGAAATGTTAAATCGAATAAGTATTATCTAAAGAATTATTTGTGTTATAAAGTAATGTTTTTTAGGATCGTATTCTCTATCGCGATAAACCAACATCAGTGATTGAATGTACACAATATAAATCAGTTGAAGGTGTAAAACATTCAGATCATAAACCTGTTCTTGCTCATTTTCGTGTTAAACTTAAACCTGGTTTACATACGTAAGTTCATATAAATTTCATATATTATCTATTACGATATGTTTTTAGAGGAAATCTTGCATATGGAAAATTTAATCATGAAGTTTACAAAAGTGGTATGTGTTATTCTTTTTTTTATCAAATTTTCTAAAGACCATTTGTCTTTTATATTTCGTTTTTGTTAAATAGGTTGTAAGCAACGTGAACGACATCATTCCTTAGGTGTTAGCTTAGGAAATAATGCGAAACGCCGAACAGCAATCCCGAAAAGTTCAGTTTGTGTAGTTCAGTAAATTTTTATCGTTTATTTTTTAACTAGTCATATCATGCTATGTGTATATTATTTGTTGAACATGTTCAAAACAAAACAAATATATATATACATATATATATTTGTGCTTTAGTGAAATAAATTGCTCTAAGTTATTTATATACAGTTAATTATCCTTGAACAGAGATATTTGTTGTTATTGAAACATTAAGATCTTTACTTAAATCTTGATCTTCATGTAATCGACGACGATAAGCAAAATATCGTTTAATTTTATATGTATGAGCACGCATAGAACATACATTAGGAAGAATTAATGATAAACGTGACCATTCAGGTAGAACCAAATGACAACGAGGATTACGATATCTAGTTTTAAAAATATTGACAATAAAGATATATATATATTTTTTTTTTGATTTTTATACCGATTAAGTAATTCATAAATTGAATATTGACATTCTGATTTTTCGATCGTTGTTGATAAGGATTGTTCGAGGATTTCATTGGTTGTTTCACAAGTTAATTGTTGAATAGCATCGCCTTGACCGAGTATATTATTATTGATATTATACTTATTATTGTTGTTATTATTTGAAAACTCATCACCAATATTCTTTGCTTCAGATGATGAAGTTCTTTGAGTAATTAAATGATTATCATTTTCATTATCTGAATTATAAAATTCTTCAAGAAATTGATCAAGATAATGAAAATCATTAAAATCAGAATCCGATGATGAAGATGACTGAAGAAAAAAAATAAATTTAATAAAATAAAATAAAATTGCTGTTTTTTTGTTTTGTTTTGATTAAATCATTTACTGTTTCGTTATCGTCATCATGAAATTTGGATTGACTTTGACGTGGAATAAATACTGGTGCACTAGGATCAAGTATTGAACCAATATTATTCATCATTTTAATATCATCAGTTGAAACAAGTGATAAGGATGATAGAGCTACATTTACACTAGGTTCTTTATTTGAAAGACATGATGATGGTGATGCAAGCATTGTATCAAAGACATCAAACGTACCGTTCGTTGCTAAAAAACGACGAAATAGTTTTATGTAGCACTTTATCAAGGGAGAAAGTGCAGGTTTAGAAGCTTCCACACCTTTTGATACTGAAGGTAGGGCTTGACGGTTCAAAAAAGCTGAAGCTGAGAACTGAATTGGAACGGTTAAATCATCAGATAGGTACACAAATTTTTAAATCAGTCGAGAAATCTTGAGTCTTGAGATTCCAGATTTTAGTATATATTTATAGTATTGTTTTGTTAAAGTATTGAAATATGTGATTTTTTTAATCTCAATACCTCAATAGTGAAAATTTCTCAAAATGGATTTGAAATTTTCATATCTATCGGATGAATTAACGGTTACAGTTTCACGTGATATTTTGGAATCTGAACCGGAATCACAGTTTCGGCTTCAGGTACTTTTTTCGGAACTGTCGAACTCTAATTGAATATGTTTTAGTGTTGATGCATTGTTGGAATTAATTAGAAACTAAGGTGATAGCTATGAGTTAAAGTCACACTCTTTTAATTCGATGTCTTCAATCAATACAAAGGTATTTTTTCAAATTTCTTTTTTTTGATTAATGAAAGCCTATTTCCTGCGGTTTACATATGTGATAAAACATTCAGTTCTTTGTTTGAAATAGACTTCCTCGAACCGGAAAAGTCGAACTCAAGAATTTCGCAAAACCGATTAGAAATTCGGATTCTTTGACTCTGGAAACATTCAGTCAAGTTTTATTAATAAATAGTTATTTTAGAAAAAAAAAGTCTTGAGTGAAAAGATTACATTAAAATAGCATGACCCTCACTCATAGCTATTACCATAATTTCTAATATAATTTCAAATAAGTATGAGCATACAGTATATTGAAGTAAAATTTGGTGCTCAGGTACTGCACTTACCCCTTCACATTTTTATTTCGTTTATATCTTACCGATATTCCCAACACTAGGTACACTTGGTACGTCATTATTATTGATTGACTTTATCACATTATTCGTTGAAGAGTCATATTGTTTAATATTTAATGTATCATAAAAATGTTTCATAAGATCATTATGTTGTTGTAATTGATTTCGTTGTAAAGCTCTTTGATAAACTAACCGTGCATGTTCAGCTATTTCATCTTGTGTCATAGGACGTGTTTTATGTACAAATATATTTGAATCGGCTTGTAATATTTGAGAATTTCTTCCTGAATTTACTAAATCTTTTGCTAAATCCGTATTTGATATTGGTATTTGTTGATTACATAGAGGAGCTGAACATTGATTATGTTTAATTGAATCATAATGTGTTGAAAAAGTATTATGTTGATTAGTTAATAATTGTTGCATAAACATTGTGTTAGTATTCATTAATTGTAAATAGAATAATGGATTGATTGCATCTGATTGAAGCAATTGATTATTACCAAATTTGCTTAAATATGCTTGAATAATAGATGATAATTGATTTGTATCGCCATTAAACATAGAACTAAATGAATTTGAATTGATACTATTGTTGTTTTGTGTTGTAAATTTTGAATTAGATGTTATTTGTTGAGTATTATAATTGGATGATAGTTGATCTAAATAACATATGTTATTTATCTATGAGAAAATATAATGATAAATCAATTCATAGATCTGGTAAGTTAATTAGCTACATATATGTTCTGACTGTCATTTAGATAGTTATCAATTATTCATACCATGATTATTACGACAGACTGTTTGTTGTTGTATATGATTTTGTGCTAATAATGAAGGATAAGTACTAATATCGGACTCTGCTATTGTTGAATTAGGATGTAATGATGTATTTGATTGAATTGTATTTTGTCGAGTATTTGTTGGTAAAATAGATGAAGGAAAATTTTGTTCAGTTGTATTACCTATTGTACTACTATAATTATTGTTCGTATCACGTAGTGTCTTCATTTGTTTTTTGTTTTTCTTCAATAGTAATGGCTTTTGATAATATATTATGATATTCTACGCGCGAATTTTTCTTGAGAATTAAGTTCCTTAAACAAGTGTTCACAGTTAGATATTTTAACGTTTTATTCGCAGAAGGCAATAAAATAAAAATATGTGAAAATGATTCTTTTACATCCTGAAAGTTTTGTTTTTCTTTTCTCAAATGATTTCTTCTTCGATATGACAAAACATTTATATGAGGCAGGGTTGCCAGATTGACAAGTTGTAAATCGGAATTTTACAATAAAGAAATTGGAAAAATCGGAACTTTTTTCACATTATTGGGGAAAAAAATTCGGAAGGCATCTTTTTGACATTTAAATGCCCATATCGCAGTTTTTTTAAATGTTTTCTTCTATCATCACTTTGTGTGAAAGCTGTTACTGATGCAGTTTTTTTCTTGTCTTTAATCTCATTTATATTAACATCAGAATCCTGAAATTCATCATTCATGGCTGAATCTAATTCAGTTTAACATATAAAAATTATCATATGGAAAGTTGCACCTTCTTAAACTTAGAATTTAGTTCACGTTGAAGAAATAAATTATTAAAATAGCTTTTTTCATTATGGAAGGTATTTTATTCAGTTCGGAAAGGCTTTAGATTTATGAGAGCATGTTCTTTTAGTGATCTTAAAACTCTGTGCTATTTAATTGTTACAATAGAACAACGATGATGCATTAATTGCGGGTAAAAGATAAATTATAACTTATAATAATAAAATTCATAAAAGCTCGAATCTAGAAATATATTACATTTCGGAAAAAAAACTTAAAATTCAAAAGAATTCGAAACGTCAGAAAGCATTCGGAAAAAATGTCAAAATTTGGAAATTTTTCTGCCATTTCGAAAGATCTAGCAACCCTGATACTAGATGAGTTTTCTTTGTTTGTAGATGTTGAATATTCAATTGCTATTTGCAATTCATAACAAGTTATCACATATTTTTTAAAAACTATATTTTATTTTCTTTAATTAAATGATAAAAACATTAGATGACGTTAAGAAGTGATTCATGATGATAATGTTTGAATGAAGTAATCGATTGAAGATTTCTGAATTATGCAAAACTTCATTGATTACAGGTTTAACATTTTTAATTGACGATCCTCTTCATACAAGAAGAGAGGATTACTTGGCGGAAGAAAAGTCAAAAGATATCAATATCAAATGTCAACATAAATTTTCATCTTTTGATTATTGGAATAAAAAGTTTGCTGATCTTATTATGAACAAAAATAAATAGTAATAACATAAATATAAGTGTAAAAAACAACAAACAGCTCATGAAAATAATGATCTAAGTCTCTAACAAACGTCATAGTGTCAAAATAAATATTCAACAAATTAGTCTTTGGGCAGATAAACTCATGTGTTATTGCGAAATCGTATGATAGTGGAAAAAATTTGATTCACAAATAAAAGAAATAGTTCAATTAAATAAATAAAACATCACAAGTCTTTTGAGATTAAAACAAAGTAAATCGGATTAATGATCATCTAAATTGTTACTGTCAGTATTTGATTCTAAACATGATAATTCAAGTGCTTTTTGGATTGCCCAAATAGATAATGGACGCATATATCCACACTAGATATAAGAAAAAAAAAATCTTACTATATAAGAAACACTAAAATCCTTACAGATCGAAAATGACCATCACGCATCAATGCTTCAGGTGTTTGAAATGCCAAACCAGCCACATTGTAGCATGTATTATAAATTCCTTCAGATGTAATAAATGCTTGACTTTTCAAATTCTATAAAATACAAAAAGCTGTTAGTGTAATCTCTGCGAGATTAAAATGTGAAACGCAATGTAGTTGTTGTTATTAATAACAGGAAGATTGTTTTATTCTATCTATTTTAGGACACATTTCTTCACCATCGTTTTACTTAATCTTCCAGAAATGCAATAACAAAGTAGTTCATATGTTGATAACGTCTGTCATAGTCCTTGATCAATCGTTGTTAAAATGCTTTTCATGCGTGTGGGGGAGAGTGGTTCAAATCTTTACTCGTACACTAGAACACTCGTTTTATATTGTATTTCATAAACATGAAAACACGAATTAGAATTTATCAATAAGAAAATGATCGAGTTCGAGAAAATTCTTATTAATCTCAGTCAGTATTTAATGTAAAAAAATCATATGTCCACTGTATAATTGTTCGTTGGTCGAAATGATTGGAAAAACCAATTATTTAAAGAATGAGACGAATATTTAACTGTATCTCTTACTCTGAAATATCTATCATAATCTAGCTTTCTTTTATTTATAAAAATTTCACCTCCATAATCATTGTCGATGATAATCCATATGTAACTCCAGTCCATATTTCTTCCGATTGCATACTAACAACTTCTAATTGTCCTGAACTAGTCATTCCATTAACAGCACCAATTTTTCCCTGACCAAATGCCATAACATTCATATTAAATATTGTATTAAGTACACTACTAATACGATCTTTTTCAAAATCCTATAATTAATAAATGAATTCTTTTTTTATATCGATCGTTCTTTTCTTTTCTATAAATAAATTTTACATCATATTTATGACCAGATAAACGTAAATACCAAAACCCAGCTAATTGATCCGACATAATACAATCATGATGGCGTGATACACTTGAATCATAATTGTAATATGTTCCATTCCATAATTTATCTGAATATGACTTTTTAGCTAATTTAAGCCATACGTCATATTCTTCTAAAGCATCTGTATCCTTCAGCATTCGTGCCATTTCAACACAAGCACGAAGTGCAGCAATATGAAGATTACCACAATATGCACTAAAGAAAAAAAAATCACAGAATATCGAAATAAATTAATGAAAAACAAAATTTACCTTGCTCCAGTTACTGCCCATGCATCATAAGTTTGATCAGCAAAACCACCATTATCAACAAGACCATCACCATCAGTATCTTGTTTTTTAACACGATCAGTAACCATCTTTATTTATTATAAAAATAGAAATTTGTTCTTTTTTGGAAATTTATATTTCTTACTTTTACTGTTGGCCATACATCAATAAGAAATTGTTTATTTTGTGTATAAACATAATCTCGATATATTTGAAGTAAATATTTTAAATTTAAATCTTTCCATTCAGCTGTATCATGAGAAATATAAGCATTAATTAATAACCATGGTTCTTCATCTAAATAGCAAAAAATGAACAATAAAAAAAAGCAATTTTGAAAATTGCACGATTTACCAGGATCACCAAGATCGTGTGGAACGGAATGTAATGTTTTCCAATGAGCTGATCGACCATGAAATAAATAAGTACGATTTTCACGTTTTTCATAATCTATTGAACTAGCTAAAAATGAAAAATATTCATGTCATTGATTAAATTTTTAACAAAATAACTAACCAAAATCATATTGAATACTCAATTCTAACTGAGGCCATAATTGAATTAATGCAAACGATGCATAAAAATGAACATCATATGTATTTATCATTCGATACTCATGACCTAGAAGATATTGTAATGATTAAAAAAAAATTGAATATTTGAGATATTTACCTTCTAAATAACCAAATCGACCCCATTCTCTAACATGTTTAGGCAATGTCATATCTTCACTTACATCAAGCCACATACTTCCACCATCAGCAATAAAATAAGATTCGTTAAATAAAGCACTCTTATACCATTCTGGTAATGATCTACATGAAGAAAAGAAAATATATTTCTTATTGAGTTGTAAACAATATATTTACTCATCATCTAGAATTGGCTGTTGCCATTTTGCAATAGCTTCTTCCCATTGTATTCGATTTTTCATTGCATGAATGCAAAGAGTTGATCCTGTGAGTGTTTCTGTATCAAAAAATTTTGTATACCATCTAAAGAAGAATAAATTATAAATGGACTGTAAAAGTAATCACAAATAACCTCCGATATTGTCTTTGTCCAAGACCGAAGTTAATTATAGGCATATGCCAAACAAGAACAAATTCAGATGTCTTGATAGAATTTGGTTCAACCGTAGTTGTTATACATACACAACTCGCTGTATGAACGCTTGTTGATCGAACAGTTTTCGATTCTAATTATAAGAAACGAAGAAAGAAAGAAACAAAGTGAGTAATGTGTAAAAGAGTATTATTTCACAGCTTTTTAAAATTTTAGTCATTGAAATGATAAATAATTTTATGTAAAAGTGTACGATCTTCGGTTAAACGATTAGATTTTTCAAGATTCAACTACTAATTGTGTACAATCCATTAAGAATTAAAAAAAAAGAATTTCGTTTATCCTTAGTGAAAAATTACGCAAATTGTTAAAAGAGAGTAGCATCCTATAAGAATCTGATAGTAAGACTTTATCTGAATTACGAATTATCTTATATTTCAATGGATTCTATCATCTATGAATATCTGTTTCCAAGTCAACGAATGTGGAGAACTCTCGTTCTCTTCTCAGAGATCACCTAGTATAGATTCTATACAGTCAATTTTCCTAGACAACTCTCTGCACCTAAATACATCTATAATCCATCGCAAATTTTCAATTAAGGCACAATTCAGATTTTATTTACAATAATTAGACTTGAAAGGATCTAGTCAATGATTTCGAGTATCTAATGCCGAGAAGATAAGGGATAGGCCGAAAGTTTCTAGAGAAACTATTTGACTATTTTTCCACGAATTTATATGCATTGGAAAAAAGTGAGAAATAGTGTACTAGAATCAGAATTTTGTGCACGTTCAGAATATATGCTGAAACATTTTTTGTGATTTGATCTTTTCAGCACAAAATGATCCTCCTTCATTGCTCTGTCATTTTTTTTTAGTGAATTTAACCAAAACTCCCCATTTTTGCATCATATTGTAGAGTAGAGATCATCCTCAGGCACTATTTATATATAGAACTTATTCGATGCATAAAGCAGAATTATATGTAAAAGAAATAAGATATTTGTCTCTAGAATTTTTCTTTTTAGTCCTGTCAAGATTAAGTCATAGCTTAATAGTGCAAAGTCAACAAAATTCTAATTCTAATACACTATTCTTCATTCTTTTTCAATGCATTTAAATACTCGAAAAATACTCAAATATTTTATCTAGAAACTTCCAGTTCACTCCTTACTTTTCTAGCTTCTATTTTTCGGTATACGACTTGCAATGGAGATACAGGTTTTCATAGTCAGATAGTGAAAGCTAACTGAACAATTTCTGTTCACTAGATACATTACCTTATCAAACTAAACAACACTTATCTGTAAACGACTGTCTATTTGCACAAGCACCTACTATTCATAAAAAATTCTTAAGTTATCGTTTTATAAACTTGAGAAATTTTGCTTAAAATTCTATTTAAAGTCTTTTTTGAATACCCGTTAATCGACCATCATCAGTTAGATCAAGCCAAATATCACGTCCATCTGTACTCGAATGAACATTAAAATTTGTTCTTGTAGTGATTGTATTATCTAACTAGAATTTTTAGATAACATAAAAAATTCAAAATATTGATCATTGAATTATAGATATTTATCACAATAAACCAAAAAAAATACAAACCTCTTTTTTTCCCATTATACAATATTCAAGTCTCATACCACGTAACGTTTGTTTGATGGATACACCACTAGCTGAAATTTCATCATCAGTAACATCAATAGATTCATGTGATATATCTCGACATGAAAATTCCTGAGAAGCTAGAAGAACAAAAGCAATTTTTAAGTGACGACTATAACAAAAAAGAAGAATAATACCTGAACCAGCTTGCCATGTAAACATCAGACTAACTTCAACAGGCTCATCATTTAAATTTTCAATATACCAAAGAAAAGAAGCGACTGGTAGAGATGAATCCTGAATAATAACAAGAAATACATAAACATAAAATTTCGAAAAAAGTTTTTTTTTAATATACTTTATAATTGTGTGGAATGACAGGTGAAAGTTGTTTGCATAGTAAGCGGATATTTTGATTAGGTAAATCATATGTTGTCCATGATTGAGGATATAATGCTTGATAATGACCATTTTCTTTTGGAAATGCGCAGTTCCATGAGCGTAAACCTTTTTTTCTTAATCGATATGGTGTTAATACTTGACAATAAGTTGTTGTATTTCGGCGACGAATACAAACAGTAAACTAATTTATATCGAAAAGAAAATATGTTTTAGGAAAAATATTTAAGACAAAAAGCACCAACAGTATTTGCATCAACAGTATTAAATTCGTAGAGACCAGGTACTAGTTGATAACGACAAAATTCTCCACGAAAACCTCGACCAATTGTTCCACAACCTAAACCACCAATAGGTGCACCTAAATAACAGAGAAAACAAAATAAATCAATTAATAACGGGTGGCCCATAAAGAATGGCGGTGTCAGTACTTCGTGAATATCTCCCTCAATTTTCATTGTCCAGGCTTCAACCTTTATTTAAAAGACGCGCCATTCAATTCTCTACAAAGCTGTATGAAAAGAAACTCTTTCGATGAATAGCTGAGAAATCATATCCTGTCAACACTACGGTGCTCTAAAGAGACCCACTTTCAAATGCGCTTTTTTTACACAACTAATTATTTCTCGTCTGCTGGCTAAACAGATGTCAAGTCGTTCTAATGGAAGTTTCCTATGTTTTTATGTGTACTCTTTCTAACAGAGCTGAGAAAAAGATGCTTTGATAAGATTATGAAGTTCTAAAGGCTAATCTTCTTGAAAGACGAGTTGGGAACATTTGTCATTTGCCTGATAGACGTCAGGCATTGCAGAAAAGATCTTTGCGACAG